GAAAAGGTTTCGGTTATGGGTTTTTCAAGGGGAAATCCTTCAAGTTATGATTCATATGCATTGTTCTCAAGAAAATTAAGGCTTGGTCTTCAAAATTGAGCATTGGGAGGTTTTAGACTTAGTGAGGTTCAAGTTATCAAGTGTTTTTTTTACAAGTTAAGGAAAATAAATATGAATGATTCATGGACAAGAATAGCCTGGAAGGCAGACTTCTCTTGATTGTTTGTAATAATGATGTATCATATATTTTTTTTTCCAACTGAAGGTTTTTCAACCCAGTGAACCTTGGGCCAGGATTCTTCCAGCGACCTGCATTTACCTTCATCCCAGAGTTTTCAGGCTTCAGTCCTCAACAGACCCAATTTGGGTTCCAGTCACCCCGCCAGACATTCACCCCAACACTTCAACAACCTCAGCAATTTGAAGCCCAAAGACCCCAAAGATTTGAACCTCCAGCACAACAGCAACCTCAGTTCTCAGCACAACCAATTCAATTTGGTCAATCACCTCAGCAGCAAATCCCTTTTGGGTTTGCACCTCAACAACAAACCCAGTTTCCTCAGTTCCAGCAGTTCCAACCCCAACCTGTGCCATCCAGGTTCTTCAGATCTAATGATGAATTCCCTGGGTTTGAGGAACCCAGGTCTTTCTCAAGACAACAACAACAGCAACCAAGACCCTTGGTTTCTCAGCGTCAGAGATTCTTCAAGTGAATTAAAAATGTGCTCAAAGTGTTGAAATTCGTACTTGTGTTGTAATTTTACCTCATTTCTTTCAGTGCACTCTTATCAAGCCAATTCCATTTCAAGTTTTAAAATTGCTTGAGAGGCATTAAATTTCTTCATACATTTTCAGACCAGTCCTTCATTATTTGACCTCAAACTGATGTTTGTATTTGTGAACATCATTGTGAACGTCTGGTTATGCGTGAGATGGAATAAAATCATGTTAATTAATTTGTTTAATTGATTTTTATGCATGATAATTCATGAGATCAGTGTTCCAAACCTTTTTGGGCCCTCAGACTTGCACATATCAATAAAATTGTTCAAAGACTACAAAACAAATTCACAGAAATTTTCTGGGTGAATTGGAAAAGTTTTATAAAAAATTTCAGACTCAAAAGACATTATGGCAGATATTCAGAAAGTTTCTGCTTTTTGCAAAAATTAGGAAACAATGAAGCAACTATAGTGTAATATCTTCAAAAATTTAGGATGGTGGACATGAAAGGTTTCTCAGATGGAGCAAATTAAAATAATTTCTTTAAACAGGTAAACATTTGTCTGAAGTGTTTCTAGGAGAAAAGCCAATTTTAATTTTTTCATCAGATGATTTCAAATACCATTTTGGCTTTTTCAAATTTCAGGTAAAACTGACAAATTGCTATTTTATAAAAATGTACTATTCTGCAGAAAATGACTCATGGAGCAGAAAAAAACTTCTGCTGACCATCACGTTCTGGAACACTATTTTAGATCAATTTCACAATATTTTTTCAACCTTGACAGGTGTGATGCATGGCTTTTTGTGGAATATTTTATCATACAATTTTACTCGGTTTTCAGTGGCGAAATATTCTGAGGGTTGCATGAGAGCTTTTATCTTCTTCGAATCTTACTCTGGCTCACGTGATAATTACCAAAGTTTCTCAATAATCTCCCTTTTCATTTAATTATACCTCACTTTACTTTTTAAAAATTTGGTGTTGCTTTCATTGCACATGAAGATGTATTTCATCACTGTCGGTAATCGGAGCCTGGGTTTTGGGGGGTGTCCGTTGCTATATAAGCTTGTTGGATGCCCACAGAATAATAATGGGTGAGTGCCCTTGATTCATAAGTGTTCCAGGACACGTAGCGGTAATATATGCATCTGTGGCTGCTGATAATCCTATGATGCAATGGAAAGTTGCCTGCAGGTGAAAGCTGAGTGCCTTTGCATTCCATCTGTATATATATACAGTACAATATACAACAATGATTTACATTTCTTCTTGAAGTAAAAAAATTATTCATCTTTGTGAAGTATCATCAGATGTTCTGGACTACTAGAGCAGTGTTCCCCAATCTTTTTGGGCCTGCGGACAAGAAAATTTCCATAAACTTTTTAAAGACTGGCAAATTCCCAAACAATTTTCTGCAGACAGGCAAAGTTGCATGAAATTTTCACAGACTTCAAACAATTTAGCTTGCTGGCTTTTATGGCAGGTACGTATATACAGTATAAGTTTAACCTGATTTTTGATCCTTGCAAAAATTAAGTTCAACACCCATGAAGCAGCTATGAACTTTTTTGGCCTGCGGACAAGCAAATTTCCATAAACTTTTGGCAGACTGGCAAATTCCCAAACAATTTTCTGCGGACAGGCAAAATTTCATGAAATCTTCACAGACTTCAAAAAATTTAGCTTGATGGTTTTTATGGCAGGTATATATAAGTTTAACCTAATTTTTTATCCTTGCAAAAATTAAGTTGAGCACCCATGAAGCAGCTATGGCAGACTGTCATCAAAAACTTAGAAAAGAATGCATGAAGAAAAGTTTCTCAGAACAAAAAATTAAAATAATTGATTTCAGCAGGTAAAAATGTGTTTTATGAGAAAAGCCAACTTTTATTTTTCATCAAACCATTTCAACTGTCATTGTCTTTACAAAGTTTTAGATAATGCTAATAAGAGTTCATTGCTACTTTTAATGAATGTATTATGCTGAAAATTTCCTGCAGACTGGCAAGAAACTTCTGTGGATCAGAGCCAGTTTGCATAAGTTTTCTGCAAATGTTCAGCATATAATCCATTTCTCAAAAGTATGGATTATGTCCGATCATTTCTTTACCTAAAATTTCAGGACAATGGCAGTTGGAATTATCTTATGAAAATAAAAGTTGGCAGTTCTCCCAATATAAGTCGCAGGCAAATTATTACAGCAAACAGAAATTATTTTCATTTTCCATTCTGAGAACCTTTCTTCAAGCCCATCTTTCTAATTTTTTAAAATGAAATTCAGCTATAGCTGCTTCATTGGGGTGCTTGAGTGAATTTTTGCAACAAGAAAAAAACAGCAAATTAATTTAAAACCTGCTGTGAAGTCTTTCAAGCAAAACATTTGTGAGTCTGCAAACATTTTATGAAACTTGTTCAGTCCACACTCTACAGACATCTTTTTGGGTATTTGCCAGTCCATGGGACTAAAAAAGTTGGGAACACTGGTGTTCTATATAGAGCAGTTTTACTCAAACCTTTTGTGCCATGGTCCAGCAAATCACATCTAATCCAAAAATTGCAAAGGCTGCTTTGCAACTGAAACAACCCTCGTGTAAATGTTAGGACATAATTTTTCAAAGCATATTTTCCTTGAGAGTTGCAAGGAAACTATATTTTGACCAGCATTTTACGTTTCCCCTTTTCTCTTCCATTCTCGCGTTTGGATGAATATTCTGCATAAATATAAATAGGGTCTCGACAGAGTAATACCGACTTCTTTGGAGATGACCGACAAAAAAGAGCCTCCAGCATAATTTTTTTTTCTCTCACGATGGGTGCGAGAACAATGAATCGGGTGCCAAAGCAAAGTGTCCGACCCGGTGTTTGAAACTTGTCCGCAGGGCGTCGCCCGTTGCGTCACGCGGTTTCGACTCCCCAGGTGATATTTCCACGCTTTTCTTCTATGGTTGTTGGCGTATCTGTCTGATGTGTGGTGCCAGCAGCAAAGCCATTCATTCGCGGTCATCGGGTTGATGGCAAGAAATGGTTTCTGATGCAACGTTTCTCCCTCTCTTTTTAATTTCAATTTCTGGCTTTATACAACACTCAAAAAAAGAATTAGCTGAGTTCTACTGTTCGGGCGCGATATTTTTTCCAACCGCAATTTCGATCCACGTCAAGGCTCTTATCAGGACATTATCACTCTTTTCCGTGTGTCAAATGGGTCCGAATCTCCCGGAAGGCATAAAATCTAATGCTGCTGTACGCTTCGAACGTATGTTCACCATAAGCTGAAATTAGCTATACAAAACTTATTGTATTCCATATACTGTACAATCAACTGAAGGATTATCTTGGAAGAATTGCATTCAGAAGGGAGTAAATCTGGCGATTTGAGTACGATTTTTTTCGTGTCAAGGAAATGCTGTGGTGGCTACTTGGAATCACACTAATGAATAACTCCCTGAAATTTTTGTGGTTACCCTGTTCCTGATCACTTTAAACTCAAACACAGTTGAACCTCCCTCAAGTGGAATACAAACATAAGTTAAACTTTTTCGAAGTCCTCAGGCGAATTTCCTTAGAAACAATGTATTAAGAACCTCTCTCACTGGTAGGCTTTTCCTCTCAAACCTCCATAATTCCAATTTTCTGGAGGCCTTCTGGCTATTATTTTATCGCAGACACAGGAGAAAGAAAATTAACAAAGAAGTATTGTGATGTGTTTTGAAATCAATTGAAAGAGTTATTGGGAAAATGAACCCTTGCCTCATAGTTCATCATCCTGTCAACTCACAGAATATCGATGATTGTGATTTCCTGTGATTTTCATTTTCCCCAACAAAAATGATGATAGCTTCCCTAAATTGAATTTGTTGCTGGTTTCCTTGAAATTCAACTTGAGAGATTTGACTGTATAAAAAAATAGCACTGTAAAAAATACACTCCAATCATCATGTGCATGGTAGGAAGACATTTTCATAACACAACTCATCATACAGAAGAATAATTTTTTCAATGGGATAATGTGCATTACCCTTTCCAAAGGATTTATTTTGAAAGCTTGTTAGGTCCTCTGAAAGCTTTGATCTCTTCAACAGAAATGCATTCAAGATTATGTTTAGAACCAAGATAACTCCGCTCTTTCATTTTTACAAACACTTTTTTTTATCGCATATTCGCATTACTTCTCATAAACTGCTTTTCTAAGCTATGTGCACTATGTATGTGTACATGGAATTGACAATTACAGGATAAGCATACTAAATAAAATAAATGAGCAACAGGCGCAAAATTTCACTGAAATCTCAATCCTGAATTTCTTCAACCGCAGCAAAATTCCGCCATAGACTTCCACGCAGTATTCGGCCCAAACTTAAGTTTCAACCCTCCTCTTATCACACAATTGGCGAAACAAATCGCCGAAAACCCGCGAGAACAAATTAGTTCTGATCAGTAATCGCCAAAAAAAAGATAAAAAACTGACATGGATTCACTCAGAAGCTCATGTCATGGTTGATCCGTTTTGCCACGTTGAAATCAGTTGCCTTGTGTTTGCACAGCTTTTTTAGGCGCTTTGCAAAAGAATTTGGAGTTAAACTCTCGTTCGCTAAATATTCTTCGCATTCCCGACACCCGTGCGCAGTTTTTCCAGGCCTCCGTGTCCCTCTGAAAAAAGATCAACGCAAGATGGGATTTATTTCCTCGGAATTAGACATCATTTGACAAGTGCGTGTTGAATTTGGAAAAAGTATTTTCAAAAATTTCTCTTCTAGTTCCAATTCATTAAAATTAAAAAAAAGTCGCTCTACGAAGTGTTCGCCAAATAATGAGAGAGAAGAACGCACGTTTCCTTGTCGATCCTCAGTTTCTTGTTCCTGCTTTGAAACACACCAGGTGAGGCATCAGATTCATCGTCTCCACTGATATTTACAGGAAAGATTCGTCGCACTGGGTCCAGTTGATCTTTGCAAACCCGTGAAGAAACTACAGGAGAGGTCATCAACCTCGGTGATCGGCGAACTGCTTCATTCTGACTGTTCAAGGCCGCTGACGAATTCTTCACCGGTGTTCTCAAATGCCTGACCCCCCCGCAAAAAAAAAAAGAGAGATAAATTTTCAAAATGGAACTCAAAGTTGAACTCCCAACAGAAAAACTCACGGATTCCCACTGGCCCTGTGCTTCCTCGCCAAGGAAGGTTTCTTCGTGATAACAGGAACAGAGCAGAGAACTTCAGTGTCTGATTCGTCAGACTCAGTCTGGTTCACGTGAACCGTGTTTTCGATCGTCTCCGGTACAAAACGAACAGTTTCAGGCACTCGGAATTCCGCTACTTTCCCAGTTGATGCAAATGGAGGAGGCTGGGAAATGGCCGAAAGCTCAGACTGCATCTTGGCGAGTGACTCTTCGTGAAGCTTTCGTAGACTCGAGATTTCTTCTTTCAGCTCCAGAAACGATGTTTTCTGGCCGCCTAACGCTCGGATCTCTTCGCGAATTTGCTCCAAGGCTTGGCTCGGCTCTTCTACGTTCTTCAAAGCACATCCCCGGGTTTCCACGAACACTGAGAACACTATCCGAAGGAGCACATTTGTGAAGAGCGTGAGAAAGTCATTTTCTTCCGACAAAGACTTTTCGCAACACGCTGAAGCGAGTCTATTCGAGAACTCCCGTTCGATATCACGCACCACTTCCAGCGACAACGACATCCTACACACACGAAATGAAAAAAAATCGGACTTTCAAAACTGAATTTTAATCACAACTCTTTGCACACCATCCGTAGTGTGAAACACTTCTTCCCACGCGAAACTTACTTTCAGGTCTTCGAGAGCTCGTCGCAAATCTTTAGGTGACCCACCAACCCCGAAATAATACGCTTTGGCTGCTACAAATGCGACTCCACCTGCTCTAACACTTTTGCTCACAACTGAAGCTAAATCTTTCACAGAGGACTTCTCGTACACAGTTTCACTAGTTAGCAAGACATCGAAAGTCCGTAAGAGATTTCTTTCATCAAGAAAGCACAGGAATCGTAACCAGGACCCTGAAACGAACATGGCTTTAGTTAATGCGGATCCGCAACGGTTCACAGCAACAGTTGGATACGTCGCGAACTCCAACACGGATTCGTTGAAGTCTTGAAAAAGGACAAGATCAGCAGTTTCTAGGGCATGGATTCCACACAAACCCTGTCCACAGCCGACATCAATAACCTTCTTCCCGGAGAAGTCGAAATTGATGTCCGTTAGGTACTTGATCAGATCCCAGGTGCACTCCCACACCTAAAAATCGAAGATAACGAAGAAAGTTACACAAAAATCACACTTCAATCAAACATCGAATGTCGAAGGAAATTCGGGAAACGTCGTTCTAATTCAGTACACCGGATTATTTCAAGAGGGAATCTCAGTTGCTTGAACATCGAATTTTATCATCTCAGTTCTTACTTCCAAAACATGAAACACCTAGATTTTCTCGCGCTAATCTAACACACCAAATGGTTCATCGAGGCACGAATGAAAAAAATTGCGTCCGACGTTTCCTCGAAAACCATTATCGTGGCCCCGGAGGTAAAACCGAACTCACTTTGAAGCCACCTTCGTAGTTGCCCGGCAACAAATCTGAATGCTCAAGCTCGGGGTACCTTGCAGAAACATGACTAAGAGATCTACTCGGTATGTAAAAATACTCGGCATTTCCCAGACATTCGCACACAAACTGGCCTTTGTCAATGTCGTCGCGATTTCGTTTCGAAAAGTCAAGCAATCGACACTCGACGCTAGGTTGCGTTGTAGACGTGAGGGGAGTCAACGGGTCCACTGGCTTATCCGCAGATTCACTCACATCGAAGTCAAACCTGAACATCCTTCTGAAAGTAGCGGAAAATGTTAGGAAAAAAGGAAAAAAATCAGAGGAATCGCTATTAAGCCAAAACACGACATTTTCTTCCCCGTATCGTTGCGACGCCATGTCTATGCAGTCTGGCAAAGCCACAAGAACCCAAACTCTGCGTTTGTTCAACATAAAAATAACGTTTTTCTCTCGACACAAATTAATTTTACCGCAGAGGTAAACTTGCTTCGCTTTGTACGTTCGATTCATGACGGGATAAAACACGATTCGACACTCATAACATCGTCTCCCAAGAACATCATTGAATCCCACTTGCGTACTTCCTCAAGCTTTCATTGCTTCTGCCAGGACCTGAACGACGGGGAAGGCAAAGATTGATGTCTACACTGCCAAAAAAAATCAACATGAATCAAGGCATGCATTTATATTGACTTGTATCTGCAATTCCTCGGCGGCGAACTGCGGCGGCGATGGTGGTGGCAGCGGCTGCGGCCAAACTGGCATGAAACCCAGATTATTCACCCCTGAAGTAGAGAGTTGCATTATTTCCAACGCTTGTCGCAAATAATCTATAGAAATCCGGTAATAATGAAAAATGCGTCACCAGATAATATTCGATACAATATAAAACAGGGTGAATCAAAGAAAAGACAAAAAGAAAGAGGAATCCAAGTTGCACAAATTGTAAAAGACGATCACTCAGGAGTAGAGTGTCATACCTACTTCTTTTAAAAACCAAATCCTGCTTGTTGAAGGGCTGATGTTCACTTGAAGCCAACACTAGCAGCAGATTTGCGTCTCTTATATTGCTATGTGAAGGTGCTAGTGGTATACAGACTGTTTCCTTCTTCCAGAGTCAGCTGTATTTTCTCTTAAAAGAACTAGACACTACCCATCATCACGTCATCCAAGGGTTTGTCAGTCTTGTCGTGTGGAATCCATTGATGTAGATCAGTTTGTAAAATATGGCCTGGAAATGCAGAATATAAATGCAATATCAATGCTATGTAAAGTGTCCATCTATATCATGCTCAAATCCAATGCTGGAGCTTCCTACACATTGAACAATACTTCTAGCATCATTTTTCCAACAGCAACACTGCAATTAACAGATCCACTCAGCATTGCTGCCTTTAAAAAGATAGACACAGAACTAAAGAAGGCAACACACAAACTTTTATGATAATGATTTCATGTGAGATTATTCTTTGAAAATACTGTACACGTAGTGTGCCATGAAGCAGCCTTCAGTGAAATGCCAAGAGAATTTTCTACAAATGATTCCCAAATGAAAAATATTTCAAGACCAAAGAAAAGACATTTGAAATGAACAGTTCGCATGGAAGGAAACATTTTCAAAACAGATAAAAAAAAGGCCATTTCATGAGTTTTGATGATGCCAAACATAACTATGAAGTATTATAATATACAGAAAATCTCCACTCTGATAAACTCAATCACTGTTACTCGGAAAATTAATTTTCTAAACAAAAAATTCAAATGTACAAAATAAGACTCACACTCAATCCAATAAATCATGCGCCGTCATTTCTTGCTCCCAAAATTGGCATGTGATCTTTTCTCCTGCAAAAAGATGACGAGTTGCTCATTGTCCTCACGCAATCTGGCTCTCAGAATTGACACCCTATGGCAATGTCTCAGCTGATTTCATACACAAGTTTCCATTCAGAACTTCCTTCGGGGCAATTTTCCTAAAATCCTCTTTTCCCCGAATTATACAGGATACATACATCAACACACAGATCAGTGTTTCCAAGGTTTATTTTTTTATTTTTAGCAATGGACAGCAATAAGTTTGTTTCTGCCGAAATAATCTGTGAAAAATTAATTTACAGTGTCAATGTATTTCAAAGAAATTCGAACAATATCCGGAAGTTCGTCTACACCTAGTTCACGTGCAGTCAGGAAGACGCAATCACAAACACATTTTAAAACTGTGAGACCAAGTGATCTAACATGGCCTTTCTCGAAAACCAAGCGATCCATACCAAAAACCATAGGAATACGTACATAGTCATCACAAGGGATACCCGGAACGCAACTCAGGAACCAAGACCAATTAAGAAGATCCAGAAGATGAGAGTGACGATGTGTAATCCTGTTCACCTGCGAAATATACGTCTTCCCAATTATCGCCATCTCATCAACCAGCGTTCATTGGATCTTGGAACGAACCCGCAGTAAAGCTTGCTCACTGGATGTTGGGCAGGCGATCAACAGCTTAGATTTATTTAACAGCATGAGCAGGATAACAGCACTCACATAAACAGTCACTTTCGACGCCTGAATCTTCTTCATTCGTCGGGGATGTAATCTTCTGGGTAGTGGAAGGTCTTATGTGTCGCATTCTGGGTATCCATTAAGATGACGAGACGTGGTCTTCCTCGGAATCGAACATTTCCTCATAACATATATTTTTCATTTTCTCACATGCAATGGGAGATAATTGCACTAAGTTGCTCACACTAAATGTCTCTCAATATCTTACTGAACTTCCACCCCCTTGACAGAATTTCGAAAAGAACTCAACAGTCCGCTGATGAGAAGGAACAGGATACGCGGGGCCGCCTTCTTTAAATCCAATAGCTTCAAACCTCCCTCCCTCTAGACACTTGGTATAATAATCGAACGGTGCTTGCTCATCGGGTTCCTCATCATGGCCAGAAATCTTGGGCTTGGGGAAGTTAGGAAGGCGTGGTGATCATGGCTTGTGATGAAAGCATGACAATGACCACAATTCGAATCCCGGAATACTTGCGCTTACAGTACATAAGTAGTGTACAACAGTGTAGTGAGGTTTTATGTAAGAGTCCTCGGCCAGCGTCACAAAGTAGACTGTATTTTCAAAGTCCACACAGCAAATGACAGCAACACAATCGCAGATGGCAGCAACACAAAATCATAAAAGTCACAAACATAAAAACAACTGTCTTCCTCAAAGGTTAAGAGCGAAGTGCCGTACAATAAGGTGATGTCAGTCAAGGAAGGACCTCAACGCACGTTTCTACAAGCACGTCATATATTCACAGCACCAACAATAGTAACGGATAATGTCAAGAGTTAAAGAGATGATCACTTGTCAGAAGCTTCAATAAGGTGATGTCAGTCAAGGAAGGACCTCAACGCACGTTTCTACAAGCACGTCATATATTCACAGCACCAACAATAGTAACGGATAATGTCAAGAGTTAAAGAGATGATCACTTGTCAAAAGCTCAGATCGAAGTGCCGTCATACTGTCTCGCAAGTCACCCCCTCGCGGTTCGTCCCCAGATCTCTTCAGGTGATAACACCGACTCGGGTGGTTCATGTATCGGACGGTGGTTCCCGCCGCTAGATGTCGCGCGCTGGTGTAAGGGGAGGCCCTTACTCTCCCCCCCCCCGAAAAGAGCGCCGCTTACGAAAATGTTTCGGGTGCGAATTTCGGGTGAGATTTCGCGCATTGGCGGAGCCGGAAACATAAGGCGCGACTGGGTTTTGAAAGACCGCGACGTTCCCATAATTATGGTCCGATTGAATGATCCTGGTTTGCTCCGGCGGGGCCCTAGATGCGGCTTGCGCATAGGAGTGATCCCGATTTGGGACAACCGTCTCCTTGCCGGACTTGCGATCAATGATGCCCAACTGTTTTTCGAAGCCGGGGTCCGGAGCCCGTGGTAGACCTCGGTAAGGTACCATCTCCCATGCGTTGACTCTGCGTACCGTGCCGGCAGCTCCCACATGGTAGACCCCTTGGCCCTGATAGGACAGTACCATGAACGGACCAATGCGTTGGGTGCGGAAACGACGTGCGGCTGCATGTTGTTCGACTGTTGGTAACCTAGGAAAAACAGCAATCAGTTCACCGGGTAAAAAATGTCGCTGCTTGTTTTTATTGGCTTGAGAAATGAATTGATTGCGGTGGTCCTCGGATTTCTGTTGAAGCCCCTCTTGTGAAATCTCGGCTTCGAGTGCTGGAGCTCCAAACGTTTTGTCCGCCTCCAAAATTGTCCGACGTCCGAACATTGCCTCAGTGGGTGATACGCCAGTAGCCGAATGTATAGTGCTATTGTATGCCTTGACAGATGTAGCCAGGTGTATCGCCCACTGATCGTCGCGGCCCCTGACAGCCTTGGCCTGGATTTGAGAGAGGGTCCTGATGGACCTCTCGCAGCAGCCATTGCCCTTGGGATGAGTTGCCTGGGCAATGTGCTGTTCTATGTCATACCCTTTGAGAAAATGTCGAAAGGCTTTTCCAGTAAAAACAGAGTCACAGTCGGAATGTACTATTTCGAAAAGGCCGAATTGTTTAAAAACCTCTGCTAGGAAGGGTATCACCGTTTGAGAATCAGCCCGTTGTATGGGCTGCGCGATCATGTACTTACTGAAATGATTGATGGCAATGACAGCATATCGGAAGTCCTCCTCTGTTTTGGGAAGAGGGCCGTAAAAATCCAAGACGAGCCTTTCCCGCGGTCGATTTGACTCGACTGCGCTCATGTGAAGTCCGACGGTCTGCGTTGGCTGATTATAGCTTGTCGACGCATGCACCTGCTTCCTGTAACGTCTGTAGAACTATTTCGAGATTCTCGCACAGAGTATTAAACGAATCACCAAACACTATAACGTCATCAACATAAGCTAAACAACGCTTGAAAAGAAAGGGACGAAGTATAGTATTGACTGTTCGCTGAAAAAGCGCTGGCCCTGTTTTAAGGCCGAAAGGGAGTACTTTATACTGTACTTGACCTCGCGGCGACATGAATGCTGTCTTTTGGCGATCCTCTTGCGCGATTGGTAGGTGATGGTAGCCGGCGTGAAGATCGAGCGTACAGAAGTAGCGATTGTTCCGGCCTAACGCTTCCAGGAGCTCTTGAACCGTCGGCATGGGGTAGTTGTCGGGAGGTATCAATTTGTTAAGTTCCGAGTAGTCTTCGACGAGTCTGTAGCGCTTTTCCGCCGGAGCCGTAGGATCCGAACACTTCTTGTCGACCAGAAACGCTGGAGCGTTGTATGGCGATGCCGCGGGTTCTAGAATACCTGCTTGAAGATAAGAGTCAATAATTTCGGCGAATGGTTTATTACGTTCCACCGAATGCCGAAATTGCCGTGCCGCGGGCGGCGTAGCTTCAATGGTCGGGATTCGAACAACAAAATCCGCGAAAAGACCGCGAGCTGGGCTGGTGACGGCGTAGTCGCCACGTACTGCAAACTCCTAGACGCACTGGCGAAGCGCGAGGACGCCTCTAGGCAGTTGCTTTCTTTACGGGCTGGGTTATCGGTTCCACCCAAACCTTCCGCGGCGCATCACCTCGTGAAATCCAGTGAAAATGCGTTTCCCGTCCAAATTAATTGTAAGAGGTAATTGTAACAGCACGGTCCGACCCAGAATGATGGGGAATTCTCTCATTCCCGGCAAAACCAAAAAGGAACCCTGTAAACTGGTATTCTGAAAATCGAAACAAGTCTCGACGACGCCCCACTGTACTTGTCGGAGCCCCGAATTGCGCCACGGCTGGCAGCAAACGTCACGGCGCCAACCATTTAGTTCGACTGCATGGTGCCTTAGGCTATATTTTCTTACTCTGCGCGGCCATAGTTCATTCGCGGAAAGAATGCGACCCGTTATTGAGATCTGGAGTACGATAGGCGGGGGGGCGGCTTGAAGGTTCGTAACGAAACAGTACGCCGCGTTTACTGTTACGCTTTCCCGTTTCCCTGAACCTGGGGGCACTCGCGCGCATTGGGTGACATGAACAGCCTCGGGGCTTAACGCGGTGCCGACCGTCGTTTGCAGTGCCGCGGTTGGTAAATCAAGCTGACGTACCACGGAATCCGATATAAAAGAATGAGACGCGCTGGTATCAAGTAATGCGGAAAGAATGCGACCCGTTATTGAGATCTGGAGTACGATGGGCGGGGGGGCGGCTTGAAGGTTCGTAACGAAACAGTACGCCGCGTTTACTGTTACGCTTTCCCGTTTCCCTGAACCTGGGGGCACTCGCGCGCATAGTGACCCGGTTTCTGACAATGGAAGCACAGATCCGGTGTCCGATTTGCCGCAGTTGCCGAGGAGCCCGAAGTGGATTTGCCGGAAACCTGGTCCGCTGATTGTAAGTTGGACTGGTTTTGCCGAGATCCCAATCTGCATTCCTGGGTGCCGTGCCGCATATTCCTTTTGTGGTGTTCGCACCATTGTTTTGGTGGTAGGTCGATGCGAGGGCGAGAACCGGACTTGCCGGCGGTGGTTCCACCGGTGGCAGGGCGATGGTTAAGGCGATAAGCCTCGGCTACGTCGATCAGGTCGTCCCACGTCATTTGACGATTCTTGCCCCATTTCCGCTGTAGCTCGTCCTTGAGTCCTGCTTCGGCGATATTGAGCAGCTGCTCCTTGAGAACATGGGCTATGACTGGTTCGCACATGTCTAAATCATCGACGGACAGCTGAATGTAGTTTTCGTATTCCTCACGCAAACGTTCGCCGAAGTTGAAGAAGCTCTCAGCCGTATCCGGTCGAAGGTTTCGAAAACGCTTCAGGCGGTCCAGATGTGGGGTAGGATGTCTTCGCGAAATGGCGCTCACCAATTGTTCGAAGTCCTGAATTCCCCTTTTGTACATCCGGTTAGCGGTCATCTGGATGTGTGGGAGAGTGTTGGTCAGCAGGCAGGAGATCCGATGCTCGTCCGTAACTTTGCCGACAGCCAGAACATTCCGTAACCGGGTGGCGAAGTCTTCGAAGTCTTCCTCTGCCCGTTGCTTTGGTAGATTCGGAGCTTGGAGGTCGATGAGCCACTGCGGGCGTTGAAGAACCGTCCGAGCCATGCATGCGTCGTTGTCACCATCGTCGTCTTGACAAGTGCGGCGTGTCCCCCTGTCGTGATGGCGTGGAAGTTCATAAATAGCTGTCAGTGGAATTTGAAAGCGATCCAACTGAGCAGCGTATTGTGCCTTCTCTGCCTTGACCGGGTGGCCGAGGTGAAACGTGTCCGCCAGAAGTTTCAGAGTATCCAGTGGTAAGGTTTCCCAGACACTTGCCGTCGAGGCGCCCGAGGCATTCGAGTTGCGCCGGCGTTCGGGAGGTGGGGGAATGGTATCTTGGAACACTTCCTCGTCGTCCTCCCCCTCCTCCTTGTGAATGGTAGCCAGGTCCACAAGAGCAGCAGCCGCCGCTGCCTTCGAATTTTCGGTATTGCGAGGCATATTTTCTGATGCTGGCGTGCAACGTGACGTTGATCACTGTATTGTTGCTACGAGCCCCCAATAAGGTGATGTCAGTCAAGGAAGGACCTCAACGCACGTTTCTACAAGCACGTCATATATTCACAGCACCAACAATAGTAACGGATAATGTCAAGAGTTAAAGAGATGATCACTTGTCAGAAGCTTCCCCCCCCCCCCCCCCCCCGAGAAAAATAGATCAGGGAGTAGTGCAACAAGTGACTTGATCGATTTTTCTTTTAAGAAAATGAAGAAGTGTAAGTATGATCCGGACGACGCGTGTTGGTGGGAGCGGTAAGTAGATAGTCGTGGTCGCGGTGCGTCGGAGCCTGAAGGGAGAACCCTGACTACGGGTCGGCAAACTGGGCCGCCAATTCCAAATATGGGTCCTGGTTCTGCGGTAAATGAATTGGAGCAATTTTCGTGGACCATATCGGATCAGGTGGTCTGGGAAGGCCGCGCGCGGGTACGAGTTCCCACACATTTGCCCAACAAATTTCTACTCCTGCCCCCACGTGATATTGGCCCTACCCTAGATCGCGGATGATAATAAATGGGCCGAGCTGTGGAATTCGAAAATGCCGGTCCGCCGCATGCTGTTTCACTGTTGCTAATCGTGGGCGGATTGCCACCAGCTCCCCTGGGCGAAATTTGGGCCACTTCTTCCGATTGGCTGAGTGCGCGAATCCGTCGCGTGCTTTCGCGTTTGTTTCGAGGATCTGGGTGATCGCCAACTCTATGGGTGGAGGCTTGACGCCAAAGATTGTATCGGACTCCAAATTCGCGGGTCAATTAAAAAAAACTTCGGTGGGCGACATGCCAGTGGCGGAGTGGATGGTATTATTATATGCCAATACCGACCGATGCATATGTGTAGCCCAGGCTTCAGGTGTCCCTTGCACAAATTTTGATTGGATTTGGCCCAGGGTGCGTATGGCCCGTTCACAACATCCGTTCCCCTCGGGATGTGTGGCCTGCACAACGTGTTGTTTCACACCTGCATCGCGTAAGAACCATTTAAACGCGCATGAGCAAAAAACAGAATCGGCGTTGGTATGCACATATTCAAAGAGCCCGAACTGCCTGAAAAGGTCCGCAAGGAAGGGTATCACGGTCGTTGCGTCTGCGGATTTGATCAGCTTAGCAACCATGTATTTGCTAAAATGGTCAACCGCTATAATCGCGTACCGAAATCCCTCGGATTCTGGTTGCGGGCCATAAAAATCAACGGTCAGTCTCTCGCGCGGATAGGATGAGATTATTGGTTCTAGATAGGTTCCCACCTTAGTTGTGCTGATATTATAACAAAAACAGGTGGCACAGCATTGAATCCGCTTCCAGACGTCCTGGCGCAGAGATGGCCGGGCAAATCTGGTCTTGAGGGTCTGGTAGATAGTTTTCCAGCCCGCATGACCGAGTTCTGCATGGTAACTATCAATAATGCGGGTGCACTCGTCTTTGGTTGGGACTTCACGGCCCTCTGCGGCGTTTACCGTTACCCGACTGAGGGCATCGGGGCCCTTTAAAAATCGGCAGGGTTTGTATACCAGCTTTGCGTTAAAAGGCGCAAGTTTAGTTTTTAAATAAATGAGTCGCGTGGTTTTTAATTCTCCCGGCTTTGTGGTCGGTATAAACGGTAAAGTCCTGTAATTCCAAATAATGGCGAAATTTTTTCGTTACGGACCAGACAATGGCCAACAATTCGCGTTCAGAATTGGAATAGCGGGACTCCGTATCATTGAGAGTGCGACTTGCATTCCACCACTCGGGGTTGGCCGCTTTCGTCAATTTGCACGAGTATAGCTCCGAGAGATGTCGCGGACGCGTGGCAATGAACTTCCGTGGTGCGGGTGGGGTCCATGCGCTCGAGGCGTGCGGACTCCGCGAGAACGTCTTTGAGATGGGTAAAGGCTTCGATAGCTTCAGGATTCCAGGTCAAACGGGTCAGCGGTTTGCTGGGGATAATTTGCCGAAGAATTTTTTTGCAAAGTTTGTCGGCAAATGCGCGCGAAGATAAGTTGCCATTCCGAGAAACCTCTGCATTTGGCGGGTTGTCTCAGGTTTAGGAAATCGGCGAACCGCATCTAGATCTTTCTCAAGGGGTCGGGTCCCGGTTTGGTCGATTTCGTGACCCAGGAATACCGTTTTCCGCACTAAAAAATTAGATTTCAAAAGATCGACAGCCGCGCCGGCTTGCGCTAAGACGGAACAGATGATTTCCAAATTCTCACAAACTTGCTCAAAGGATTGCCCAAAGACGATTATGTTGTCCATATATGCTAAGCAGCGGACAAACAAATGATCGCAGAGAATATGGTTGACTGCTCTCTGAAAAGCCGCTGGGCCATTTTTAAGGCCGAACGGCATGACCCGATATTGCATTTGACCTCGCGGGGTCCAAAACGCCGTCTTGGGGCGATCCTCCACGGAAATCGGCAGGTGATGGAACGCGGAATGCAGGTCTAAGCTGCAAAAATACGCATTATTGCGCCCGAGCGCGTCTAACAAGTCTTGTATGACAGGCATCGGGTACCGGTCGTCCACTAAAATATTGTTAATGCCTTGATAATTTTCGACCATGCGCCACCTTTGATGAGGGAGGGCGTTAGGGTCTGGATTCTTTTTTTGCGTGAGGAAGGCTGGCGAGTTATACGGCGACGAGGCGGGCTCGATGAGGCCTGCTTCTAAGTATTCGTCCACCAAGGCGGAAAACAAAACGTTCATCTCGGCGGATTGACGAAAAGACTTGGTATTCGGGATCTCGTTTGCGGTTGTTTTAAGAGCCACCATATGCTCCGGAAAAAAACCGCGACGGCCGGACCATTGATGAATTAGGTCGGAATGCTGAAGGAGAATTTTGGTTACCCGTTTTTGCTCCCTTTCTGACCCGTCGGTGAAATTAATCCCTTCCCCCAGTGGTATGGTTGGAGGCGCGTGATTTTGAATACTCCATTGAAATCCGACAAACGCGCAATTGCCATCAATGGTCAGCGCGAGTGGGAAATGTCGGAGCGCGGTCCTGCCAAGGAGGATGGGTGGGTCTGAGAGGTGGGGTAAAATTAAAAATGGTATCAAATATTGAAGACCGCGAAAGATGAAATCGATAGTCACTTGTTGAGCTACAGAAGCAGTATCCGAAGTTAACGCCGTTAAGACGTGGATGGAGCAGGGACGGGGGGATAATTTAAGTGAATCGACTAACCGTTGTGACACAAACGCGTGAGATGCTCCGGTGTCCACTAATGCGGGAATGAAGGAGTCTCCAATTTGTAAAGGAAGGACGATCGGAGGAGGTGCGGCGAGATCCGTATCCACACAGTGAGCCGCATTCACTGTGGCGGNTGAGCCGCATTCACTGTGGCGGGCGCCCGTTTCCCTGTAACAAGAGTGGACAATTACGTCCCACATGTCCCGGGGCATTACAATGAAAACAATAAATAGAATTAGAGTTCGCGTTTTGCGTTGAATTGGTTGCGGCAGAACGTTGCGCCTGATTTGGAGCCGCGTTATCTGCTGATGCGGGTCCGGCTCTGTTTTGCTGCCTCAACAGTATCCGACAATCTTGGGGAGAATGTCGAACGTGGGCTTGGTGCCCCTCGCACCATTGTCTTTGGGGTCGGGGGTTGTGGGACGACTTTGAGGTTGGTTTCAAACTGGTTCCGCTTCGGTTCGTGGCATGGTGGTGCAGACGATATCTTTCGGCTTCTGCTATTGCCTGCGACCAGGTCCAGTTACGATCGTCGATCCACTTCCGCCGTAACTCGTCTTGCAACCCGGATGGGGCAGCAAGAACGAGTTGTTCGATGAGCATCTTGTTTCGGATGGTCTCCGCTGATACCGGTTGCTGAGGTGGTGCAAGAAACGAGTCAAACAAGTGTTCTAACCTGCTGGCGAAGCTCACGTAGCTTTCCCCCGACTGTGGACGTAGCAACCGAAACCGGTCCAGGCAATCCAGGTGAGGCGTGGGATGAGAAACTGCGATTGCTGCGGCGAGGTCCTCAAATTCTCTGATTCTGCGTCCGTATAAAATGGACGCCGTTTTGCGAACCATGGGTAAGGTTTTATTGATTAAGCACCAAACCTTGGCATCAGCGGAGACGTTGTTGATTGCCGGCATACGACGTATCTGGTCCGCATAGTCCTCGAATGACTCCGAATCGCGTTGCCGCGGGAGGTCAGACAGCTGCAGTTCTCCTGGATAACGGTTGGGTGGCGGTTGACTCACGGTTATTGCTGGTGATGGACTGGCAATGATGATCTCCTGACGGTCGGGAGGATTCCAGGTCGTAATTTGCAGGTCCAAGGGGCGGAGGTGCCAGCCCGGAGGCGGTATCCAGCCCGCGGTGAGGGACTGCGGGATCCTGTTGGTCTCCAGAAGCGTCACGTAGTCCAGACGATTGTTGCCAGCTGGTGGGCCCAAACGGTACGCCTCAACCAGGTACTGCAGGGTGGGTAGCGGGATAACATCCCACTGGTTCCCGGGTGTTGCCGGAGGAGCTTCCAGTGGTGCAGGGTTCCGCTGTTGAGGGTTTTTGGCCGGGAGCTGCTGAGCTGTGGATGACCCAGAGGCATTGTCCGCTGGCGGAGTCTGAACTTGCTCAGGAGGCACATACGGCTGTGCCGCGGCCTTAGAATTTTCCGTGTTTTGCGTCATTGCTTTAGTGACATTGACGCGATCAAAGTTCTGAAGCCGAACGAACCCCCAGTAAGGTTTTATGTAAGAGTCCTTGGCCAGCGTCACAAAGTAGACTGTATTTTCAAAGTCCACACAGCAAATGACAGCAACACAATCGCAGATGGCAGCAACACAAAATCATAAAAGTCACAAACATAAAAACAACTGTCTTCGTCAAAGGTTAAGAGCGAAGTGCCGTACACTGGATCTCATCCGCCTCTCCTCCGATCTTGATAACCATCTGGCTTCCGGTTCTTGTCCGGGTGGGAGATTTGGTCGAGTGTTTGAGGTTTAGGGATATTTGGGTAGATGTCGTTACTAAGGTGGACCGGGAGGTATACCTTACTGTGTAGAGAATGGAATTGACGAGCTGCGCTCTGTGGGAATGGAAAATGTGAATTATGACTCCACTTCTAGTTGTTGTCCGCGCGGTCGAAGTGTCAGGGTGAACTAACCCCTTGGAATTTCGCTTGAGCAAGCGTTGCCTTGAGTCACTGAAATTCTGTCCCGCGTACGTGTGAGTTTCACCTCGGACTGCGACTGATGGAGGGGAAGTTCGCTTCTCTGGTTTTTGTCGTCGTTTCTGGTCTGTTTGTTCCGGTAAGCATCCTCAGCGTGGTATTTATTGAACCGCGCGTGGATGTACTTCAACCCGTGTGCTCTTCCTTTTCTTGCGAGGTGGAGCCATATTATTGCGAGTTCGGACAATGCGGAAACGATGAATACTGCTGCGGAAAAAATCTGTGCTGCACATATGTGTATCGGATGTGGTACCCATGGTTAGAACGTTAAGCTATGGCTGCGTTCGGTGTCTTGATCGATGTGTTTGTAATTTAGGATCGGGGTCATGTTTGTCCTGCTGCTGCTCCTCGCTTGCGCTGGATTATTTCGTTATTGCTTCACGCAGACTTCACTGATCATTATACCATCGAGCATGACAAGGCAAGTATCCTTGCCTCTCGGTGACGACTCGGGAGATCGCGAAGCACTCCAGCCACTCACTGTGAGTTCTCCCTCGCAATTATAGATTTTGATCATGTGTGAGTAATTTCATTATTCATCTAGAAATGTGACGAGCTGGAAGCCTCAAGTGGTTACTACGAAGTGAATTTAAACTTCTATCCTGCGCATGTTACTCCTCCGCCGTCTTATAACCAGACAATGGTTTCGGATGCCACGCAGAGGATGTCCGAAAATCGTAAAACGGGAAGCATGATATAATCTTTTGTATATCGGTGCAGGGCTATTTCGAGAGGAGCATTGCGTAATGATCATATTTTGATGGGTATTCCTACTTTGGCCCGTAAGCTTTCAACTGGGGATAAGGATCTGAAAAAGTTCGGACCGTGTTGAATGAGTTGGTATTTTACGTGCTTCCCCCGTTTTTTTTTTTTTTTTTGTGGAAGTGGCTCACGTAATTCTGAACTGGGAACATTTCTATGTTTGAAATGACGAGCACGGTCGATTTTGTGATAGAACGGTTACCAAAATTTTTATAATGTCGACTGAACTAATTTTGCCGTGTTTTGATCAAAGAAAAATGGAATGAAGCTCTACTAGTCTTCCTTTCCGTCTGTCCTGCATTGCAATCACCGATGATGACGTTTCCACGCCATTGGAAAAAATCACGTCAACCACCCTAATAATCACAGTGGGGTTTTGCTTTAATCAACTGCTCAGTTCCTGTCTTGATTGCCATTTCTTTCTCTCTAACAGGGATTAAATTAAACCTTCAGTTCAACATCGATCAATTTCACGTTAGATATGTGTTCTTCTCTTCGTCGATTTTTTTCTAAATGACCTTAAAGTACTGTAGTGCTCGTTGAAGCGGTTTGATTTAAAGAAATGAATGTGATGTGAATAAAGCCCGATTCAGCTTTCACTTCTGAAGAAGTACCTTTTTTTGTATCCTGAAACTCTCGAAGTTCTAAGAACTTAATTTCTAACTCTACGCATTCTAACCTCTGAAAGTTTTTCCTGCTTTAACGATAGTTCGGAGAATGTTTGCCTGTCTTGCTAGAGCTCTTTTGATTAGTGCCCTTAATCAGTCTCTCGGAGGCACTTACTGCCTTTTCCTTCAACTTATTTCCGTATAATTTTTCGTTACTGAACGCGAAATTTGGCACTTTGACGGTCGTCTCCACAGGTTCGTATTTTTTCGAAAATGATTTTTAATTTCTTTTATGTTGAGCGTGATAATCGAAAAGTTTTTCAATAGCATTGAGTGGCTATGTTTCATCTTGACTGGGTTTTAAGCCGTGCTGGTTAAATTTTCAAGTTCTTAAAACGTGATTTTACTACCTGGAAGAGTTTGTTTGCTCAACATAGTGCCATGAACAAACAGTCCTTGCTTTCCAGAAATATAATAATTCAAATTCGAGGGTGAAAAGGAAACGGCATGTGTGGAATAAAGTAAAGGCAAAAGCTGACCGCATATATATTGGGATGCGTTTTAGTTATGTTCAAAAATCCTATGGGGTTACTCGCCTTGATAATGTTTGTGAACCAACATCGATGCTGAGGTGGCCAATTGAATAAGTTACGTGGCGAATATTTATTTTTCACTGCTGTTGCCGTCTACAACACGGCGTCCATGAAAAAAATTCGTGCGGAGAATTTCACTTCAGGTGATGTGTAGTACAGATTGTCATTACGGTTGAAGCACCATAAGTTGAAAACCTCTGTTAAATTTTTTTTTCAAGTTCCTGTCTGATTTCTGTTAGAAACAATTAATTAATAAACCTCCTAGCTTGATGAAGGTCTTCTGGCGTTGGGGAGGAGAGAAGCTGTAAAATTGTAACTTGTGTGTTATTTGATATCGCCACTTATTACAGTACTGTACATTATTTGTACCCCCCCCCCCCCAAATGTTTGAAGTATTCGAGCGTGTTTCTGAAACTCGACGCCTGAAGCTCCTCTTTGATAAGATACTGTAATACTTTTTTTTGTAATGGAATGCAAAATAAAGTACCTAAGGGACTGTAATCCAATCATCTTTCGCCGCACGTCTTCGGGTTCTTCAGATGGTGGGTATTGACATGGAGTAATGAGCTGTGGTTCGGTTCGGAAACGATGAAGTCAAAGGCGGCGGACGGCTGTTCCTCGGAAGCCAGTGATGCATTCGGCATCACCCGAGGGGAGCTTGTCAATTTGATGAGTCTGCGTGGCCCGCAAGGCCTGTGCGCTTTGGAGAAACTCGGAGGTATTGAAGCTCTTCACTGCATGCTTGACAGTCCGGCATCATGCGGAATCATTGGCGACCCTTGCGACATTTTTCGGCGACAATTGTACTTCGGCAAGAATGATGTGCCGCGAGAAAAGCCCAAGAATTTCTGCCGACTGATCCTCCAAGCACTGTGCAACATTTTCTTCATTCTTCTGCTACTCCTGGGTATCATTTCTCTGATACTAGGACTTTACTTGGCTTGGGGACTCCAGCAATTCAATATCGGCTGTATCGCAGTTATGCTGGGATTAGGCTTAATCTTATCTGTGTTGATGGCTGCGATAATGTTGGCTTTGCTGAACCGGTTCAAGGAGAACAAGTTTCACAGGCTCCAGTGCTTGATAGATATGCAGTATCATTCGGTCGTCATTAGAAACGGAGCCAAGCATGAGGTGGAGAGCAGGCACGTTGTTGTGGGTGATTTATTCTACGTGTCCTATGGCATGATTTTGCCTGCCGATGGGATCCTCGTAGAAGGAAACGATCTGGAAATCGACGAATCGTGTTTGACTGGAGAAAGTCGTTGTGCAAGAAAGTGTCCTGGGCAAGTGAGTAATTTTTTCGTCTCTCTATTACTCGCTGAGATTAGTTACGAACTCCTTTTTTTTTTGTAGGATGTTATGGCATATGCTGGTACTGCGGTGATCCAAGGGAATGGTGTTATCTTGGCAACTGCAGTCGGAGAATGCACTCAGTCTGGAGCCATTATGCAGTTCATGCAAAGAGGAAGACGCAGTTTTTGTGGCAGGAGAAAACGGAATCCGGATGCGGAGTGTGGTGTTGAGCCTTGCGTGAAAGACCATATCTATTTCGATTATGACGAAGGACAAAGCTTGCTGCAGAGGAAGCTTCACAGGTGAATATTCCTGAAATTTGTTAAATGATGGAATTTAGCCGTCTCACACTTCAGAAACGGTTTTGTGAATGATACTCCATCAGCAAGGTTGGATTGTGCTTCTACGTGAATTAATTCTTTAGTTTATTTTCTTTATGTACTTGCGCGATTCTGCCGTATGGCGTCGAAAGATGAGTTTTTTTATATTCCTGTCATCGCTGAAAGTGGGGTGATACTTCATTTTGCAGACTTGCAGTTATCATCGGCATTATTGGCTTGATCGTGGCATTGTTCGTGGTTATCTTCCTCATCGTTGTCCTTGCCGTGTATCGAAGCTTGACGAAAACAGCCTGGTCAATTGCGGACGGTGTGCGAATATTGTACTACATAGCATTAGGACTCGCCATTTTGGTGATGGCTATTCCTGAGGGACTTCCTCTGGTTGTGACTTTGGCTGTAGCCTTTGCCGTTTGTAAAATGGCTAAGGACGGTGTTCTCGTGCGGAATCTACACAGTGTCGAAACCGTGGGGAATGTTTCGACTCTGTTTATTGACAAAACGGGAGTTCTCACGACAAATCGGATGAACGTTGTTGGCATGTATATACAGGTTAGTCGTGGATTTGTTTCGTCGGAACATTTTTTATGAGTCGAATTAACATACGTGCGTGCGTTGATTATTTATCCGACTTGGTAATTTTTTTGCGTCGTCTTGTTGTGCGTGGCATGAGTTGATCTTGAAACCATGCCAAGATTTCAGTTGAAGAGATCGTGAAACCTCTGCTAAAAACCGAGCGCTGGGTTAGTTCTCATTGCGTGGTTTCTTAAAGTTTAAGTGTATCATTGTTGTCTTCTTTTAACGCAGCAGTAAAGACGTGTGCTATTCATATTCGGAAGCTACACCTTTGTAAATAGGAAGAGAATTTATACAAAATTTACTTTTTTCCATTACAGCAGCATTTCTGTTGTAATTATGTATTCACGCTCACAGGGTTGCTATTACAACACGCTCAGTCAAGTGGATATATCCCCGAAAACGCTGAAGATGCTGTGCAAAGGAATAGCTGTGAATTCCTCGTACAATTCCACGTTGGTTGTGTCATGTAATGCGAATGCGTCTATGCTCATGACTGGGAATCGAACTGAATGCGCATTGCTCGGACTTGTCCATCGCCTTGGGGTTGATTATCAGGAAATCCGGGATCAGCATCCGGAATGTGGATTTGCCTTCGTGTATCCCTTTACTCAGGAAAGCAAAATGATGACTACAATTCTTCCGACGAGCTGGGACGGCTTCAGATTGTTTTCGAAAGGTAGTCCGGAATTCATTTTACCCAGGACAAGTTTTGTGATGATGGGCGATGGCGAAGAGCAGCCGTTTGATGAAACTGTGAGGTGGGTTGTCTTCTACATGGAATTTTGTTGTTGTCCATGCATCTGATGATGGGTGTAATTTTATTTTTTTGAAGATGTTCAGTGAATGATGTTTTGCGGAACATGGCTTGCAATGGACTCAGGACCATAGCGCTTGCCACAAGGAAGTTCGATGCGTGCAGGGATTGGAGTGACGAATGCAAAACCATTCGGCATCTCACGTTGGTTGCAATTGTCTCTATAGAGGATCCTTTACGATGTGAAGTGATAGCTTGTGCGAAAGCCTTGGACTGCGCCGGCGTCAAGCTGAAACTTATGACTGGGGAAAACCTCCTTGCTGCCCAAACGGTTGCTCATCGTGCGGGTATTTACGACCCTTCGGATCCTAACCAGCTGGCTGTTTCTTGCAAGGATTGGAACCAGGTTAATCTTTTTTTTTTGTCTAAAAATAATTTTTTGGGGAAAGAGTGGTGCCTCTAGATGTGGACGTTATTGGTTCATGGATCTTGTCCGTATGTTGGAACGTCCGCTTGTCAGATCATGTTATCCCATGGACTTCAATCGGAGCATATTTAATTTTTGTTTTTCAAAAATTCGGGAAAAGACTACCCAAAATTGAATGCTTTCAATTTTTAGTTTCAAGATAAAGAATACACTTGTTCAGAAGAAAACCACGAATATCTTATCCTTCTAGCATGACTAAAAGCCCGAAAAGCGAAGAACTAGCACATGTTGTGCTGTAGTGTTCAGATTGAAAGCCCTGAATAAGAGAGAAGCGCTAAATTAGCCTGTTTACTTTTTTCATTGAATTCCAAAAATGTATGATACTGTATATTGAATATACAGTAAAAAGCAGAAAATTTTCAAGAGCTATCAAACTTTTGGAAAAATGCAACTACATTTTTCGGCAAATTCTGGAAAAGTGTCTTAAAGTCAATTCTTCCTTATGTTGGGACCCACTGTAAAATAAATATTCTTTTTTCAGGCCTTGTGTCATAAAAGTTCTGGAAATTTGGACATGGACGCACTCGCAGCGGCAGCACCACGATTGCAAGTCCTTGCTCGATGCACCCCTACGGAAAAGTTCAAGCTTCTCCGAGGACTCATTCACTTGGAAGAAGAAGGTTGTGGCGGCGGAGAAATCATTGGTGTGACTGGGGAAAGTGTTCACGACGCCCCTTCTCTGAAATGCGCCGACGTTGGATTCGCTCTCTCAACCGGCACTGACGTGGCCAAGGAAGCTGCGGACATCATTTTGTTGGACGATGGGCTCTGTGGGATCCAACGGGCTGTTGCTTGGGGAAGAATGGTGTATGACAACGTTTCGAAGTTCCTGCAGTTCCAGTTGACTGTCAACATTGTTGCGTTGCTTGTGATCTTGGTGTCGGTGATAATCGCGAATTGGTCGCCGTTTACGCCGATGCAGTTGCTCTGGATCAACGTGTTCATGGATATTCTCGCTGCTGTTGCCTTGGCTAGTGATACTCCCTCAGAAAAGATTCTATGCCGACGACCGTATAAGAGGTACTTGATTATTTGACACGGCTTTTCAATTTGCTTCTAGCCGATTCCTGCGTAAACTCTTCCTAAGACGTTTACGATCATTGAACAATACGGTTTATTGGTTGCGTGAAAATGCCGTTCATTCATTTTTTCCGAATATCTATCAAAAGATAAATTTATTAATGTTTTCTTGTTTGAGATCCTTCGTGCTTGCATAATTTCTGGACACCCGATTGTGAGACACGCTTATATTTCTAGCCAACAATGTTGTCCTGTGATACAGTTGAACCAAATTATTTAAAGAGAAATTTAACGCCCAGAATAATCACCAACTACAATTTATTGTAATGCTTTCCTCTCCACAGCTAAAATGCTCGTTTCCCCAACTCGACTTTGTGTGCTAGTCCCTTAAAATTCGGCTGTTACTGAAATAATTCTGAAATGACATTTGGAAGAAACTTCAGCGTCAAATTGTTATGCCTTATCTCAGGAACAGAAGCGTCTTGTCGCGGATCATGAAAGTCAACATCTTCGGGCAGGTCTTATTTCAAACGCTGGTGTTGCTGATGTTCTTGTTTTTCGGCTATAAGCTCCTCGGCCCACTTTCAATGCCTGGAGAAGCTGTATTCCATGAAGCACCTGCCGAAGGATCTCCTCAAAAGAGATCGGCTGACGAGGCAATGGCGGAGTTTCCTACGGGGTCTATTTACGGTGCTTCGATTGGGTACGTTTCCTTCGGAGTCTTTGTTTCGTGTTTTTGTAAAGTAATGACATGTGTGGTACTCATTTTTCAGGTATCCGTTTCGCGAAGAGAATTTCCCGAATAAAAGAGAGCCGGTGCCGTTGGAAACTCTTCAAATGGCACGACAGGCTTCCAGTGCATCGACTACTCCAGAAGGCTGGATTACATTTTGGCACGGGATGGGTGTGAATCCAATGAAATATGGTTGCATTCCTGCGACGTGGTATTCGCAGTGCATGACGTTTATCTTCAACCTATTCGTCATCATGTCCCTCTTCAACCTGATCAATAGCAGGAAAATCCACGCGGAACGCAATAAGTTCTCGGGGCTTGGCCGAAATATCTTGTTTGTTTGGATTTGGTTCTTAATACTGATCATTCAAGCTATGATTGTGGAGTTCGGCTGGGATTTGTTTGGAACCCGGCCACTCAACTGGACACTTTGGTTCATCTCGTTTTTTTTTGGGTTCCTTGTACTGTTGTGGCAGCAGATTTTGGATACCATTGTCAGGGTTTCAAGTTGTTACGATTCAGATGAAGCTTATCATTTGGGTCTCAGGTGAGCTTTTGGTGAAATTCGATAGAATGAGTCGTCGACATAGTGATCATCGCAAAATTTATTGAAGGTGCTGCGGTGAGTTGCCGCCCGAGGACTACGCGAGTTGCTACACGTCGGGTACGTCGAGTCCGTCGTGCGATAAGGGTCGGTCGAACAAAACGGCGTCCAATTCGGATCGTTGTTCTTGCACGCCGAAATCTTCTGGTGCCTGTGGTTGTTCGAAGAAACGCCCATCATGTCCGGATTCCACTGCGGACCCGTGTCCGCCGCCGTGTCCTCCGCCATGTCCGCCTCCGTGTCCCCCACCGTGTCCGCCGCCGCCGTGTCCACGAAAGTGTCCACCTCCGTGTCCTCCTCCTTGTCCACCGCCTTGCCCACCACCTTGTCCACCTCCTTGTCCACCGCCACCGTGTCCAAGAAAATGTCCGCCGCCGTGTCCCCCTCCGTGTCCGCCGCCGTGTCCGCCACCTTGTCCGCCACCTTGTCCGCCGCCGTGTCCGAAGCCCTGTGATAGTCCGTCGTTGCCATGCAAAGCCCCGGAACCCGATTGTTGTCCGCCTTCGCCGCCGTGTCCTCCGCCGTGTCCTCCACCGTGTCCTCCACCTTGCCCGCCGCCTTGTCCGCCGAAATGTAAGGAGAGTCCGTTGACTCGGCCGACGCCTCCTGCCTCGTGTTGCTCGAAGAAGACTTCCCGGAAAAGCAGTGCGTCGAAGAAATCTAAGGAGAAGTGTGGTCAGTGCATTCATAGTTATACAGTACACCATACGAGACACTGCACAAATTGATGCAAATGCAAGGCGTGATTATGAAATTATACTGAACTAGTATGTTTGTATTTTCCAAGATCAAGCTCGGAATCACTATTCTAGTGATGTACCTGTTCTGATGGAATTCCGAAATGACCTGTCAAGTACTCTTATCAGTATGATAAAATTAAAGGAAAAGATTCAACCCCGGCTTCATTCATTATTGAAATGCAGACAAAGGTGAACCCTCGTGTACGGTAATCTTCAGTAGCCTGTTACGTTTAAATCGCTTCATTTATAATTTTAAAGTTGGACTTTATTAAAGCAGTAATACTGTACTGAGTGTTATGCATTATTGTTTCAGCAGTGTCCTAGTCTGAAAAATCGATCATTGATCTTGTCCATTGTTGACGCGTTTCAGCGGCAAGTAATTTTCCAAGAATCATAGCTGCCGTAACGTGACATGAAGAAAATTGAACATTAATCCAATTTATTTTGATGGAGCTCAAATTTTCTGCATTTTAATTTTTGAAATGCTGTATTTATCTCGTTGAATGTTCTATGAAACAAGATACAGAATGAGTTGAATCCAAATTTCAAAATTGTCGATGCATATCGCGCCCGTAATTAGTATCTTTCTATTGATGCCTGCTTGCATTCGAGTAGATGGTGCATGCATTCTGTGCGAAAGAGGTTTAAAATAGTCCTTTGAACTAATATAGTAAGGACAATACAGTATTGAAAAGTAACTGATGCCATTATGTACGTGCGAACAAATCCTCGGTTTATTTAAGCTTCAACATGCAAACATAACTTAATCCAAATGTTCGGGTAAAAATTTTGAACTCTGGAATTGGTTTTGTTCTGTGGTTATGCGTCGGTGGTCGAGGATAATCTCTCTGTTCAGGGCACGTCCAGAAAATGTTGCCGGTTTCTTCAGACTAACGAGTTATTTGCTCATTCCGCGAGTTTGTGTTTCCTTAAAATTGATTGATTCGTGTGATAGTACGCATATCTAATTCTACTCATTCTTGCAGGTGAAAGTAAAAGTTGTTCCCGGAAGAGCAAGTCCCGCTCGTCGACACGCAGCAAGCGTCACGATTCTTTAGGTCCCGAAGAAGGCAATGATAACCCAACTACGACACTGGAACCTTCGCAAGATGGCGGTGATCCTGTCAAAGAAAAGCCTTCGAGCGAATCGCGTGGAGAAAAGCGGTTGGACGATGAAGCGGAAGGTAATGCTGATGCCGAGTGCAACGAGGAGAAGCCGCGATCAGCGGCGTCATCTAGAAGCGAAGCTGGGGAAGATATCGCGGATGGGGCCTCACGTGTCAAACGATCTGAACGGCGTCGGTCTCGGCGCCACAAATCAAAGTAATTATTATTCATTATTCGAGGTTCTTTCTTGTTGAGCGTTCGGTTGTATTTCTGATGACGTCCTTGATGATTTTTAAGTGTTGCTCATCCTTTTTGCCCCCGGGCAAATTTCCATAAAAATGTTCGTGGACTGGCAAATTTCTAGAAATATTTTTGCGGAACAGCAGAAGTTAAAAATGAAAAAAAACCTGCGATAAAGTCCTCCAAATAAAATTTAGGGTGTACCTCAAAATTAAGTTGAGAACCAATGGAGCAGCTATAGTGGAGTCTGCTGCAAAACTTATTAATTTAAAGCCGAGTTTCATGGAGAAAGCGTCGTATTTTCTACGAAATGCCGTACATCAAGGGTTTGCCAGTATTTTCAACCGTTTCGCACGACAGGAAAGAACCGCTTCGCATTGCATCGAATCCTGCGCACTATTTATTGTTTCAAAAAAGTTTGTGAATTTTCTATCCCCCCACCCCACCTGCAAACTGTTATCGTTACCGCCAACCCCAAATTGAAGGGTTCGATGTGTCGAGGATCCACATAGGCGAATGGCTGGTTCCGAGCGCGATATCAACAGTCTAGGGCCCATTTGCCGTTCAGCTTCCGGCGCAAATGCACTCATTAACGTCGATGTCGAGTCTGGAGACCCGAGGCGTCGACGGCAACGTTTCGACGACGAGTCTTGCGACGTTGGTCGAGTCTCGCGGTTGTCAACGAACAAGTCTGATGTGAATCTTCAGCGCAGAACAGTGTCGAGACGAGGTTGTTCGACAGCGAGAATGATCACCGACACGGAAACGGGAAATGCTGCTGAAGAACATTGGTTGAAGATATGGATATCTGGGAAGTCGACGAAAGCAAAGAGGACGCAGACGGGTAAAGAAGCTGCACAGTCGACGAAAATTGCTGGAGTGGAAATAGTTCCCGTCCATGACAGCAAGCGTGAAAGACGTCAAAGGGTACATTCCCTTTTCTTCCTGTAGGGCTTGAGCTCGTGAAAGTTTCTGTACTGTATTTCAAATTTCAGCGTCATGTCGACGGTGGTGCTGAATACAAAAGCGCTGGTGTGACAGCGGTCGTTCGTCCTGATTGTAAAAGCACAGCAGTGAATACTTCCTTCCAGAAAGCTGCTGGAAACGCCGGTGGAGATTCCCCGTGTGGAACGAATAAACAGCGTGCCAAATCCGAAAAATCTCGGAAGGTTTCTATCAAAGTTCTATCAATTTCTTAGACGAGGTACTGTCATGTGCAATTTTGTTAGGTTTCTCGAAACGCCTCTGCGAAAGTAGAAAATGATCAGCTGGAAGAGGCCTCGGGCTGGGGATTACCGATTCGTCTCATGAACCAAGTCCAGGGCATGTTCGAGTGCATTACGTATCCTGAGGACTTCACGCGTTGCGAGGACTTGTTGCCCAGTATGCCGTATGCTGACAAAGTTGAGCAAATGTGGGACGCTTGTTGTGGTCGAGGAGGGACTGGTGCTGTGGAATCTCCGGGGCCAGACAGTGCGCATTCAACGAAAGTGAGTGCTTTGTGTGATCGCGGGATCAGATTATAGGATCAGACGTTTCTTTGATGGTTCGACTGTAGATCATTCTTAGGTATCTGAAAATGCAGTTGAACCTCTCAGTTAAATGGTTTTCAAGTTTTTGTCTGAATTCCCGTATAAACAAAGCATTATAAACCTCTAACCCGAAGACTTTTCCTCTCAAACGTCCTTAATTTGAATTTTCTGGGGCTTTTCGACTATTACATGTTCGACACAGGAAAGAGGTAAGTAATGAAAACGGCATTTTATGTGTTTTCACTGTTGTGAGAGGAAGTGAAAGACTAAATTGGGATGCCCCCAAGTTCAGCATCCTGTCAACTCATTTAAGAAGTAATTTAAGGTCCAGAATATCAAGAATTACAGTTTTATATAAATTTTCTTTGTGTGCATTCGATTAATGAACCCACTTGACAAATATATTTAGTAGTTATGGACTAACGATTACGAAGTCTGTAATCGTGGAATGTGGGGAAACCTGAAAATAATCCGAATTCGAATAAAGATCCACTTCTGTGCGTTGCCATGTCTTCTAAACTTTTCCTCACGTTCCGAGCAGGAATCAAAATCTTCGAAAAGAACTTGTGTGAGTGATGCGACATCAAAGCCACCAATGTCACCAGATGACACTCGTCGTGACGAGGCTTCCCGTTTGTGCAAACATGTCGAAAACAGAAGTGGATCTGCGAAGCGGGAAATTTCCAGAAGATGAATTCCAGGCGGTTATTCCTTCAGATTTCTATGTGATGGTTTACCTCCTCTTGTAAATTTTTTCTACGTGTTTGTACTTTGAATGATACGAGATGCTGATTACCGAATGCGAGATATACTTGCAATTCAAAATATGCTCGCAGTCTTTACTAATCGCGAAATTGTTGATTTTTGATGACGTTTTACCGTTGCGTTTGAATGACGAGAGAAACGGGATACGCTGCAGTTTATCGTAGTGTGCATTTCAGTTGATCTTGTGAAGGTGTGTTCGAACGTGTTGAGTTCTGCCTGTTTTGTGGCGAGGGTTTTTTTTTTTTTTTTTGCTTCGTTACGTATTTTAATGGTTTTTTCTCCCTGGTTGATTTTGCAGTTGTGCGATTTTCATTGTGAGTGGAAGGAAAATGATCGAGAGAAGTGTTCTAGTGAGAAGCGCAGTGGATTTCTGTCTAGTCGCTGCTGTCGGTCTCGGCGTTCTCTTGTTTTTCGTAGCAGGTCAGCCTTACGAACGAGGATTTTTCTGCAATGACGTATCCATTCGTTACCCGTACAAAGACTCTACCATTTCCAATACTCTTCTGTACATCATCGGGCTTGTAGTGCCCACGATAACCATCGTTTCGTCTGAGTTTGCGAGAGCCAAATTGCCGGTGTTAAGACGATCTGTTAGTCGGCAGTCGATGAGACAGTTCTTCGCGTCGTGTTACCGGTTTATGGGGATTTTTTTGTACGGTGCTGCTACCTCGCAGTTTTTCACCGACGTTGCCAAATATTCCATTGGACGACTCAGACCACATTTCCTTAGCATTTGTCAGCCGGACTTCGACTGCTCGAAAACCGATGACGTAAGTCTTGAACGCAACTGAAGGAAACTCAGATCTTGAGAGTACCGTATTTTAAGTGTAATATTTTAATCAGTGCGCGGTTGTTTCAATCGTGGTATGCATTCCTTTACCTTAAAGATAATTATCTCTAATAAGTAAGTAGAGTAAGATAAGTTTTTGCCGTCTATTTTTTTGTTGGATTGTGCGAGGATATCGTAAATGTCAGGAACATGGATGAGAGACAGTTCTTTTCTTTGTTCTATTGAATCTTGAAGGAACGTTGTCTGATTGTTGGAATTGCATAATGTATCATTTGAAGCTGTCCTTTTCGATGGATTTATCGTTGAAGCTGTTATTTTTCAGCGAGATTCTTCGAAATTGATGACTGGAAAAAATGTTCACATCACCTGCCTATAATTGATGGCTGGGTCATGTTTTTCTGGCATTCTCATGATCGTTTTAAAAACGGAGTGGTCTCATTAAAAAAAAAAAGCTTCAATCATGCATTCCGTAAGGTTCACCAATTGCTTCATTCTGGGAGATTCTGCGTGGAACCAGCTGTTAGCATGTTTGTCATTGATTACTGTTTCCATCGAAGCTAAAAAAAAACCCATTCAGTAACTTTTGGGATTTGCAATTTCAGACTGTGCCTGCCTTGGTCAGAAAATCTATACCTAGAGAATCAAATAAATTCCTCAAAAACGTTGTCTACTGTAATTGAGAATTTCGTTATAACCAGATTATTTTAACGTTTTTAAGGGTTTTCTGCCGAGACTCGAGAAAAACTACGTCATACGGTGCGGAAATGAGATTTTTAATGTATTCAACAGTTTTTTTTTTTCTGGAGACGACAGTACTGTACAGTAGTTACGAGAGTAACTCGGGATTAGTGAGGGAAATTCCGAAGACTTGAATCTCGGAAAGTTCGAGGAAAGTATTTACAGGATTAATTAAAGTGGTATTTATTCTTTGTTTCAGCCTTTCAAATACATCGAGGACTACAAGTGTCAAGGAAAAGACGCTTTTCGTATCCGAGAAAGTCGCTTGTCATTCCTCAGCGGACACGCTTCATTCTCTTTTTACACGATGCTGTTCTCCGCCATCTACCTCCAGTACCGTTGGCCTTACAGGACTCCAAAAATAGTTCGACACTTCGTCCAGTTTCTTCTTGTTGTCTTGGCTTACTACACTAGTCTTTCCCGCGTTTCGGACTACAAACACCATCCTACTGACGTGTTTGCCGGAGCTGTGCTTGGAGTTTCTGTGGCTTTGATGGCAACGTTGGTGGTGGGCGATAAGTTCCGACCTCCTCGCGATCCGGAAAATCCCGACAGTGAAGGTAAAGTTGAGCTGGACGCGAATCATGGCTTGTAAATCATTGTAAAGCGATGCACTGTATTGTAGTTCAGCTATGCGCAATTATCCCGATGTAGGAAAATGAGGACAACTCTTGCAGAAGAATGGAGTGAATGATCTAAGATCGGGCGAATACTCATCAGTACGAGTTCAAGATGTAATATTTGCCTTTCTAAATGGTTGAAGGATTTTTGAATAGTTCGGAGCTACCGTACTAGATGTTTTTTGTACTGCAATGTTGTACTTATTTTTGTTGATATTTGTGTGTACATTATTGTGATTCCATTGCTATCGTTTGTGAGTCCCTCATGAAATTTAGATGCCTTAGAATATTGTTTCGTCGTTCAATGTTTAATAATTTTAATTACCTCGTTCTCTTGTGTTCGTTTTTACCTCGCAGGTGATCTTAGTTTTACATTTCTTTCATCCCTCTCGAGTTAGAAATCGATTCTTTAAGTGTATATTATCGCAAGAAATTGAGTGAGAGTCACGAACATTATGGATGACGTGTTAATTTACGGAGATATAGAGAGATTTATTTTGACCGCTGTCCCTTGGTAGCTTTCCGAATTACCTATTTTCATATCTTTCGAGTGTGCTGAAAGAACAAATTCAGTATTGCGTAGTTGCTTCTTCGCTTACTCGCCATAAGATCCACAATCTTTTTTTTTGTGTTGCTGATCGGCCCGCGACAAGGACGTCCAGTATTGCAATGTTTTATCGGAAAGGTTTAAAGGAAGAAAAATTTCCCGTTTGCTGCTAACCAAAGGGATAGAAACGTAGTGTGAAGATCCTTCTGAAAATCTTGTAAGATTAATTTGGGGACTCCCCGTCGGGTTTTGCTGTGAAAGAAAGAAAATTGGTGAGAAATCGTGTGGCTAAAATCGAGAATATCTGCGAATGTTCTCCGTTTTTGAACGCGTGTTGAACGAAATGATAGATAATGTTGTGCCTGTTTTTTTTTTGTGTCTCCGGCAGTAAGATCGATCTTCGAGTTACATCTCGAACATGTGATGACGGATCTTTTTTAGGTCTTTTTTATTGTTCCATGCCGAAGAAATTACCGTGTGATCGTCTCGAACTCGCTGTGAACAGAATAGCATTATTGCGAGACATATTCGACTTGAGAGAACATTTTAACTTTTTCACGCACAAGGATTTTTTTTTTTTGGCTCGTAGATACACGCGAGATGTGTTGATATGGGTTAGTGACGCAGAGGTTCATTTTGTTTATTTGGTTTTTGTTTTGGCCCGGATCAGGGCATAGATATTCATCGATGGAAGCTTCGCAAGGAGAAGGGCCGTTTTTGGGATGCCATCAAAACTAGCAGCGCTGTGACGCGTTTGCAATATTTTTTTCGGTTAACCGTATTTGCGCAATTTTTGACGACGTTTCGTGTGCTTATTTCACGATGTTCATTAAATAGTGGCTTCCCTTGTCGATAATTTGAGTGTTTGCTACTGTTTTGTCGCTTGTTGAATTCCTTCGGCAATTCGATGGGGTGGATTAGCTTCTCGTATCTATTCTTGGTGTGGGGATTTGTAGGGATATGGGTTTTGGTTGACAAGAGAGGAATAGCTCGTGGGAAAATCTATAGGAAGAAGAGTTGAATATTTTACGAATGTGACTTATTGTCGATGTACAAGAAACACATCTATCATGTTGAAGAAAAGTTTAGTTTCCCTCTTTTTGATGTTGCCAAGTCCTTTATCCTTTTGAGTAGGTTAAAATGCTTTTGTAATTTGGGTTCTTTCCGATGACGTCATCTAGATGTAGTCTTGATGCAAGTTAGACCACTATAAAGTAACCTGAGTCGAACAAAAATGTGTTGAGATGGAGGCACTTTTTTGCGTATTCACGAATTCCACAAACAATTTTTCGGAGATATACTGTATACGTTATCTTTCAGCCTTTTGCTCAGGATATAGTTGCCAAGGTCGGAACTCTGCTTTGTGGACCACCCTGTAATTTTTTGGAAGATTCGAATTCCAACTGTTTCGATTAATCTACTTCCGTGGATAGGATTACGTCACTGGCATGGGTAAATTCGTTCGAAATGACAAAATACTCTGTGTATTTCAGATGGATAGAGTAGGAAATTCCAGCTTTTTGAGTTGCCGAAGCTTTCATCGCTCGAAATTTTATAGTTTTATTTAATGTTGATCGCTTTTCGCTCAAATTCTATTTTGTTCTTTTGTTGCAGAAATGCTGTTGTGATTCCGTTGTTTCTTGCCTCAACTGTCTGTGATGCTGCAAAGCAGCCAATCGTCGTTTGGTGTGGGAGGAGTTGCGTGCCGCGTTATAATCGACTTCTGCATTCTTCTGGCCATCGGCGGAGTGATTCTTTACTACGGTGTCTGGGGTGAACCGCGAAATACTGGTTTCTTTTGTTATGATCCGACTTTGTCGCATCCGTACCGAGAATCTTCGGTACCTTCGGCATGGCTCTACTCTGCCGGCGTTTTCCTTCCTTTCATATTTGTTGCAATGACTGAACTCTCACGAACGAGAAGGTGAGTTTCTCCGAAAAATGGTTTTCATTGAAGTTCTTGTTACGATTTGGCTATTTTTGTTTCTTTTTGTCTTGCGAAGGTCTGGTGGGAACATAACTGCATTTCTGGCGGACTTATACGCTCACTTTGTCATTTGGTATGGTTTCGGCGCATTGGTGTCGCAAGCCGTTACGTACGTTTTGAAGTTTTACGTGAGTCGTTTGCGACCGCATTTCTTTGCCGTTTGTAAACCGGACTACACGGCATTTGCATCGCTCTGCGAGACGGATTCGTTCATCTTGGATTACAATTGTACGAACACGGATTATTCAGCGAGCGTGTTGCGGGAGGCGTATCAGTCTTTTCCTTCTGGACATTCATCATTTGGGTTTCATGCGGCTGCCTTTTTGTGCTTATATTTGAGGGAGCGTTGGAGGAAAAACGCTGGGTGAGTTCGTTGTTGACTTGTTTTTGAACATGTTGAGAATAATGATTGTTTTGATGCATGGAAAAGCTAACATTAAAGTATTTTCTAGAGGAGGATTTACAGTAGTTGACTAATTGCAATCACTGTTGTAAAAACCTCTCCAGGTCCTTGCCGAACTTCATCTGAATAGTATTAATGGAGATATCATGGGATGCTGACAGACTATCGATTTAAACCAACGTTCAAACGATAATGAAGAGCGATCGTTGTGTTTCGTCTCCACCTTAATAACTATAATCCGTGTACTCGTCTTTCACTTCAGTGTTCTTCTGTTTTAATACTTTCGACGGGAGCTAATTTTCATTTCCTTTTTTTGAGTTGGAAGACGGCAAACGTTTTTGAGTTGGACGTTGTTTTTTAATTTTATATGTATATACTGTTTATATATATTTTTTTTTTTTCGCAGGGGAATTGTTTGGCGTCCATTTATTCAGTTTGTTTTCCTCACTGCCGCCATGATTGTTGGTATATCTAGAGTTAACGATTTCAAGCATTTTCCTTCGGATGTCGTATCGGGTGCGTTACTGGGTGCCTTGGTGGCATTATTCGTTTACTTCACCATCGACCTCTCTGGACTACGAAATCATTACTTGTTCGACATTCAAGAAAGCCGCTCTTCCCTTACGAGGTCTTATCCGAAAGAGCCTGATCGTATGCCGAGGAACACTTCTCAAGTAGGGCTCATGGGAACACGAAGAATAGACAGCAATTACAAGACATTTGACTGTTATGCCGACTCTCTACAAGACGAATGACCCTTCAATGTGCAATGAAATAAACTTCGATCCAAGTGAACGTCATCGATTTTGACTTTTGTGTTCTTCTGGTTTCCATGTACAAGTACTGTACATGGGAATGCCTCGGCTGAGATAGGGTATTGGACAGCTTCGTACGGGAAACAAGTGCCTGCCGTTATTCGACTCGTGTTCTGACTGATGGGGGGGAAATGTTGAGCTGATGCTTATTTTCGGGTTGCAAATTTTGTTGTTGATTTGGTTTTTTTCTCCCGGATTCTATGTCGGTGTAAGAAAGTCCTGCGACGAAATTGAAGTGTGCATTCCGGAAAATTTTCCACGAGTGCTTATTTTTGTGTTGAAATTTATTTATGAATACTGTACTCATCTTTTATTTATTGGATAATTCTGTCCCGCTTCTGATATTTCCGTCTCAAATGGTTGTGGGTGTTAAGTTCAGTTTTTGTCCGCTTGAAAATGTGTATGAATTCTTCACATCGAACGTGTGTTCATTGCCTTCATTAGTTTTGTATTTTGTGAACTAATGGGATCCACGTGAACATGATGAGCATTTGACAAAAACGTAATTCTTCGTTGAACAAAACGAAATTCTGTACTGCCGAATGTTCATCGGCGGGAGACAAAAAAATTCGTGAGGCGTTTACGAACCTTTTTTTTTTAAACCTGGGGCAAGGGAAATGGTTTTTCTAATGAGATGCGAATGAAACGCGGGTTTAAATGTTTATTCATGGTTTTTTGATAATTTTTATGAAATCTGAAAGTGCATTTGTGAATGAATGCATTTTAATCTGTTTGCTTTTTCCTTTTCCGAGGAAGTTATTTTTTTATTGGAAAAAGATTGTGTTTGATTGTGATGAATGTGTATGGATTGGTGCTCTCGATTCTGTTGTGTCTCGGAGGCACAGCAGCGAACGAAGCTTTCTCTTACGACGATGTACCCGGCGTAGCCATGGAATACCGCGTTTTCGTGGACGGTGGGAAGGAAGACTGCTACTACCAGTATGTACACCCGGGTTCTAGTCTCTACGTGAGCTTCTGGGTGATACGCGGTGGAGACGGAATGGCGGGATTTGCCGTGAAGGACCCGAAAGGCGTCGTGGTATTGCCCTACGAATGGAAAAAGGAAAGCGAATACGAAGAGCAGTCTTCCGATGGGGGCTACTACGAAATCTGCGTTGATAATCAGTTCTCCAGATTCGCTTCCAAACTGGTGAATTTGTATGTTACCACTTTCCGGTATGACCAGTGGGAGAAGTACACTGCGGATGTTGAAGCGATAGACGCCAACGTCGCGAATTTCACGGTGAATTTACCTGCTTTCTGAGTTGTGAAGAAACTAACTTGGGTGCTAGGAATAGTAGGAAATCCTTTGAAAGATACTTCGTGCGTTTATTCTCGTTATAATACAGGTAGACTCCGTCAACGACGATCTTGTCTACGACGATTTTATCTGTATTACAAATTTGTTTGGTCCATAGAGTTCTTTGCGACGCATTTTTTATGTGGCCCTGAATTTCGTTGTAGAGAGAGTCCATCTGTGTTCGAAATTACGGTGGATTTTTTATACATCTTTAAAACGACTTGGGCCTGTATTCAAGGTAACATCTTTATTTTTTCATTCAAATTAATTTAAATTTAATAAATTGTAGAATCGATGTCGAATATAGTCGTGTCTTCATATGTTGACGCTTTTTTAACATCCTCAGAATTTTTATAAATTCAGGATTATTGACGCCTTACCTCATGCAAGAAATTTCAAAAATTAAATTTACTGTTTTCGTTTGTTGGAAAATAAGTTAGGGCTAATTCAACTTATTTTTACAACCAGTTCAGGGAGTATTTTTGGCTTGCGTCACCGTCTTCAAGTCATGTTACAATTTCCGTCGAATCGTTTAATGTTCCGTAATTGGAGACATATTTGCAAAAATTAAGTGATCAGTTGAGGTCTACACAGAAACAAGGATTGTGTAGATTTGAAATGGTTATTTTTAAATTTCATTTCAGAACACTTTGCAAAGTGTGAACGTGCGAATCCAGACGATGCTGAAATACCAACAGCTGAGTAGAAGCACGGAGTCAAGAGACATGAGCCTTCTACTCGCCAACAAAGCATATGTACAATTCTGGTCAGTCGCCCAGTGTTTCGTGATTATGGCAGCCGGCGGTTTCCAGGTTTACTTTGTGCGCAAACTTTTCGACACGAATCCAAACCGAGGTAGAATTTAAATAATGGACGAAATTCCGCCGAAGAGCTTCCTCGCTTTTCCATAAACTTCTGAGGGTTGTAATCGTGAACCAAGAATCTTTTGTGACTCGTGAACCTCATGCATTCCGATTGTTTATTTTGTTGACTATTTTTGTTGGAATCTACGTATTATTATTGTTGACACGCCGGACTTAACTGTGGTGGAATGAAAGCAGCGATTGAGGTTTTCGATGGGATTCTTGGGACCCGTCATGTGCGCATCATTCGTGTAATTCACTTTTCGTCAACAGATTTAAACCAAAGCGCTGTGAAATAATAATATTAAATCTTACTGAGTGAAGAATGCGACGAACGGCGGGGAGAGTGTTGGGCGACGGAGCGGTGATGTCTGTGTTGGCCGTCATTTTGGCTTACTATAGTTTTGTGCCCGATCCTGTAAAGCGCGGTTTCTTTTGCCACGATGAACACCTCAACTATCCGTACGTTGAGTCGACTGTGCCGTCTATGAAGCTTTACGTTGCGGCAACCGTGATTCCTTTCGTCGTGGTAGCTATTTTTGAATGGCTTCATGCTTCTGCGTAAGTTGAATTTTTTTTTTTTTTTACTCTATATACCAGAAAATGGGAAATCGTTTCTTATGATTCGCTAGCACAAGAATCACAAGTGCTGTGAATTAAGTTTTATAGCATTGAACTGTAACGTCGTTGCGACATAGTGGAATTCGTGGGAGCTGTGGAAACCATTCGTTGTACAGAAAAAAAATTGTGAAAATGAGAATCTCACTTTTTGGTTCATGCAGTCATAGAATTTTGTAAAAACTGGGTTATAAAAGCAGTGCCTGAACTGAAAACAGTGCTGTAGAATCTTGTCATACTCCGCTTTATTTTTGTGAATTCACTTGATTTGAATCATTCAAGAGATTCTTGAATTTTGTATCTTGTATGAATACAGTAGTACTGAAAAATATGTACGCGTGTACTAAAGATGGACTCTCTTTAAAAGGCGATTGTCTTAAACGATTTTCTCTGTATGACGAATTTTATTTTCTTCCCATAAGGTTCTCTCCCCGCATTATAGAGGTTTGCTGCGAAGAAGTTCTCTGTGCAACGATTTTTTCTGGTCCCTTGAATTTCGTTGTACAGTATAAAAATTCCACCTGTATGGTTGAATTGTTTTTCAATGAATCAAAAACTAATTTCGGGATATTGCGATACGCATGTAGAAAGGCTTTTAATTTTATTGATTTTTTGCTGTGATCTTATGTGCGCTTATCTTGTTCACGAACTAGTTGACGAATGTCTGTTAGTATCGTGTTTGGGCATAGCTAATGTGAGTTTCATCCCTTTTCTAGTGCAAAGACGGTACGGAGGCAGTATGTGCAGAGAATCTATATTTACTTCGTGGTGTGGTTCACGTTTGGTGCCTTGATCACATCAGTAATTACGCAAGCATTGAAAATCAGCGTTGGTCGTCTAAGGCCGCATTTTTTCACGGTTTGTGCGCCGGATTTTGTCAGTTTGGAGCCGTTGTGCGCGCGTGGAATTTACGTGACTGAGTACAACTGCACGCGAGAGATGAGTGAAATGAAATCCCGGGAGATTCGGGTTTCATTCCCGTCTGCGCACTCTTCGTACGGCTTCCATGCCGCTGTGTTCTTGATACTGTACCTGCAAATCAGGTGGACTTCTACGAAATGGTAATTTCATGCGTTAAGCCTTGAGCTGACTGGGGAAAAGAAATTCCCCAGTGTCAGCTTGGAATGTGAGATAGCTGTGTTTCGAACGCGTATGAGGCGTAGTTTTTATGTTACTGCGCAGAGCTTGGCCATTTTTGAGAACAAAATTCCAATTGTACGAGTGGTCTGACAAATTTTCTCAAAATATTAATAGAAACCGCATAAGATTGAGCTGAAAAAAGATTGTCGTTCAGAAAAAAACATTCTTTTGCACGAGGAAAAAATGCATCCCTGTTAGACGTATTTTCCAGAAAATGTTTACATGAGTCACCCTGGCAGCTTTCTGCTTTTCACGCAAAGGACGAGGCGCCCATATCTCAGATATTCTTTTTTTTTGCAGCCCAGCTTTACCAGAAAAATTTTAAAAATTGATTATGGCATTAATTCAAAGGGTTGACGCAATTATTGATTATGAATTTCGCCCTTTTCATCAACAGCCGCCATTTGGTATAAGAATGTGGCGGCTGTTGATGACAATGGCGGAATTACCTGGGAAGACCTGGAGGCAACCGTTGGAATTAATGCGACGTCGATTTCAATTTTTCAAGGATTTTGAAGACGCTTGCCTGCTTCAAAAAATCTACCAAAGATGTACGCCTCACCATTTGAGTGAAGAGCATAAAGCTGCAAGGGTGACTAGAAAAAAAAGTACAAAAAATATGTCAATACAGGGTTTTTTTTGTGCAAAATATTTATTTCTAATCAACAGTTGCTTTTCAGCTCAATTATATGCCATTAAATTCCTATCCGGAGAACATTTGTCAGGACCCTCGTATATTGAAATTAGTTCCGGGATTTATGTCTGACTTCCAGTTCTACGCATGAGCAGAATTTCTACTGGAGGAAAAATTCATAGAAAGACATCTGAAGTAAAGTTTTTCAAAAGCACAATACAGACATTTCTGCATTTTGCTCTACCGTATTTTGATGAGAATTATTCATGAAATTTTTTTATTAAATGAATTGATAATTTTTTTTATTGAAATGTCAGTGTAATTTTAATCCATGTGTATATTTTTAGGAAGATAAATTTATCAAGGGGTACATATTTTTGAATGTATCTTCTCTGCATCAAGAAAAAAGGATGAATTTAATAGATGCGTAACCTTGATTTGTTCTCTATTCTGTGGTACCTTCGTCTTTCACTTTATCAAAGCCATAGTCTTTTTTTCTCGCGAAAGGAATAATCGAAGTGTCTTATTTTGAGCCAAATAATTCACTAGTGCTGTGTTACATGCTAGAAAGTAAGATATCTCCAGGGTTTGCCTTGAATGAGCCTTCTCTTGGCATTTATTCTCTAATGATGGTGTCATATTTCTTGTCAGGAGCGTTCTGCTAAAACCTTTGCTGCAAATTTCATTCATCGGTGCTGCTGCCATGGTCGGAGTTTCCAGAGTCGGAGATTATAAGCATTTTCCTTCTGACGTTCTTGCTGGAGCATTTATTGGCACAATTTGTGCATTTTTCTCATGGATTGCTGTGACGCCAGTGAGACTGTATGAAGTTTATTGTCCGCGGTTTTCTTGTGACGAAGAAGAAGGTCTTTGTAGACCAATGGAGGGAATTGAATTTTCTCGTAGGACGCAAAAGTACAACACGTTTTTTTCGACCGGTGCGGACAGATTTGGTAATTGATGCGTATTTTGGGACTGAAATTTGATGCTGTGGACGATCCGGAGCTGTGAATTTATTGGACAGTGCGAGAACATCTTTAGATCTTATCCTGTATTGACCTCTTTATTGTGACTGCTACTTTGACTAGATCAAGATTATGGACTTCGATTTTGTGCGAAAATCTTTTGTTCGCAATTTTTGGATTTTTCAAGGATTTTTATATCGGAAGTTTTTTTTTTTACGAGTACTTGATGTAATGTGTTCCTTCGGCTGCGAAATTATGTGAAGGAGTACGGGTTTCAAGACGCTCATGGGGAATTTTTATCAACAGTTTTCATGTTTGTACACTTTTTTGATTATTTTCTTGGGATTGAAATGTGAATGAAAAAATTTTGTTTTGGTTCCGTGACTTGAATGATGATGCGTGAGATGGAGGCATTCAATTGTAAATGTTTTGAATTTAAAAATTGCTCAACGTGAATACAGTGTCTCAATTTGTGGTAGGATTTCTGGATCTCGTTTTTAATGTACAATATCATTATGTATTCAGTCTGGATGATGCTTGAATGCAGTGGATTCAAATGACTGACCTAGTAATTTCTCGAAATTATTTTGAAGCACTCCTGTTTCAATTGACAGGCTATTTTCATCTTTTGTTCTATTTTTTTCGTAGTGAAAAGTTACTTCGCTTGCAGAATGAAAGAGCCCTTTTTGCGTCGTGCGTTTGTGGACTGGTCGGTGTTGATAGCCGGGATAATCGTGGTGTGCATGTACAGTTATGTTGGATTCCCGGTGACGCAAAATGGGTTTATTTGCGGGGACAAATCGCTGATGTTCCCGTATCTGGACTCAACCGTGCCTTCTTCGGTCATGTATTCCACGAGCGTTCTCGTTCCTGTTTTCGGACTCGTTGTGGTGGAGCTGTTCGTTAAACGAGAACTGAGCGAGTTCTACGAAAAGATGGTTCGGTTTGGGTTTGGTGCTATTTTGACACAAGTGAGTTGCGTTCTACATCCTGTTCTCTTTTTTTTCGCAAGAATTCCTGAACTTATAGCCTTGTAGGCCAGACGCGACGCTTGTTATCCGGAGGATGCAGACATTTGCAGAGAAATTTCGAGTTCGGGATAAAAGCACTTTTGTTGAGGGAAAGATCGAAGATTTACAGGAAATTGTAAATGGTGATGTTCTGGGCCAGATGATGCACCAGAAATGAGTTGACAGGATGCTGAACTTGGAGGCAATTTGCCCAAGGGTCTTCCAATTCCTTTCAAAACACATCAATTTACTTCTTTTTTTATTTCCTGTTTCAAGAAAATAATAGCCGAAATACCTCAGATAATTCGAGTTACGCAGGTTTGAGAGGAAACCCGTTCGAGTTAGAGAGGTTTTTAATTCAGACGGGGACTTTGAAAAAATTCGACTTTGGGAGGTACGAGTTATCGAGATTCAACTGTATTTCCTTTCCTTCTTAATGTCCAATTTTTTGTAATCGTAACTCATCAGAAATATTTGCGTTGTCTTCGGTCTTGTTTGAAAAAGGCATCCGTAGCTTTTGGTCTCAGTTTTCTCTTTTTTCCGTGTGCAATTTTTTGGGACATAGTTGATGGTGGATTTTGGGAAATTCTACCTCGGAGCCCTGCGTCCGCATTTCCTCACGGTTTGTCAGCCGCAAACTCCGGACAATTCCTCAAGCCTTGATTGTATTCCTGGATCATACGTGGATTCGGATTCTTACGTTTGCAGAAAGGACTTGTTGCTATATTCGAATGAGGCTAGACTTTCGTTTCCGAGTTCACACGCAGCATTTACTTTCCATGCAGCCGTCTTTTTGGTTTTGTATCTGGAAATGGATTTACCCGCTGCCAAAGGCTACGTTGTTAGAGGACGATGGCGAAGGTGGGCATGGTGGAGAGCGGTTGATGGTACTGTTCTAATCATACCATTGCTGCAGGTGAGCTAAAGAAAATTTGAATACTCTCGCGAAATTGACTAAAAGGGGAATGCGGGAAGTTTTTTTCTTGGCCAAAATCGCGGAATATCATTTTGTGCTTATCTTGTGCTTATTATTTGCTTTTTGGGTTCCTTTTCATGCCAAAAGATGAGATTATTTTTGGTTTTCTTTTGTATATTGGGGCTGGAGGAAATTTTTTCAGCTTTCTTCATATGATTTGATAAATAGGATTATCAATTAAATATACCAGTGACGGACGTTCCGACAGAGAAAATGTCCAATCACCAATTACGTCCGCATCTCGGGGCCCCACTGCATACTTTTGCTCTCATCCTACGATTGAGAAACTTTTCACTTTTTATTTTATTCTTTTCGAAGAATTAAGTTTATCGTAGCAGAAGTAAGTGTACGAATCGTTGCGAAACGAATTTACAGCTAAGCTCATTATGGTCTCTCATGTTTGCAGGTGATTTTACTGCTTGCATCGACGTTCGTGTCAGCATCCCGCATTATTGACTTCAAGCACGACGCGATCGACGTCACTTTTAGCGCGGTGATCGGCGCTTTAGTAGCGATTGTGACCTATTTTGGTGCTTGGACTCAATCGCCTCTTCGTGTGAGCCAGGCTTTCTCAAAGTCAGATAGTGGAAGGTACTGGAACTACGATGAGTTGATTCCGTAATCGTGAGTGATGTGGGTAATCCGTCGAAGCATTTCAGAGAATGGATATTTTGTAAATTGAAAAAGGGGGGTTTTTATCCGGGAAGGACGGGCCTCGGGGTTGCAATAAGTTGGACAAAGACGTGTTTTCACGCAGAAACTTGTGTTCGATCGTGTACGTGTTGCGAAGTCGTCTTCCTTTATTGAACTGCTTTTCAACTTGGTGTGATTCTAACCGGCATATTGTGATTAGTGACGTTGATTTATCGGCTCCCGTCTGAGCAGCCGTTGTTGCAGACCGAGTCCAATATTTTGCTATAATTTATTGCTTTCGAAGAAAAAGAAGACTCGGTTATTCACGTTTCTCTGTGAAATTAATGTTGGGTTTGGGAAGTAAAGCATTTTTTTGGCGCTCGTTGTTGAACGTCATGATTTTTTTTATTTTCCCGACGGTATTCAGAAAACAACTTTGGCTCTTCCCATAAAAGTTTTCGTGATGTGTTCCACGTTCGCTACTTGTGGAGAACTTCGATTTAACGTTTTAAAGTCACATCAAGACGCCTTCGGCATTAAATTATATGAGAAGAACCAAAGCTTTACAAGAATATCCGTCGTCTTCTACTACAGTTCTGTACATGAAATCGTTTATTTCTACCGTATTGATACTGTACTTTCTTTTTTTCCACGCGAAGGTCGGAAGTGAAAAAAAAATGTCAGAAAGTGGGTCAAAGAAAAAGGATAAAGCATCGAAAAATGAAAATTCCGCGATGAACGATGAAAATGCAGGATCGGGTCGGACCTCTGCATCAAAAGGCTTTAGGTCCAAGAAAACCGAAGACAACTCAGAAAAAAGGAAGAAGTTCTACGAGAATATTCGAAAGAAACACAAGGCGGTTTCTGCCCAGGACGATCGTTTCAAAAGCATCCGAAATGATCCTCGTTTCCGGCCAATGCGTCTCGACGAACGTAAAGTTATCGTCGACGACAGGTTCAAGGCTATGCTCACGGATCCGAAATTCAATCTGACGCATAAGGTTGATTCACGGGGTCGGCCGGCGAAAATCAAGTCGTCCGCCGAAAACATGCGCAAATATTACGCATTTGAGAATGAAGAAGCGAAAGAAAAGGTGGAATCGGTGGGTGAAGATGAGACGGATGAAGATGATTCGGATGCGAGTGAAGGCGAGAAACCGGACGAGACGATTCCTGATTATGCGCGTGGTGAACTTGCATTGCAGAGCTCGTCTGAGGTGAGTTGAGACTTACCTTTGTGATTGTTCGGCAATTTGGGACCCTTCGAGCCGAAAAGATTTAATGAGATCAGTGGTAGTGGTATTGTATTTCTGAAAGCTCGTTCTCGATTGTGACGTAGTTGGAGGAAACTGCAAAATTTAGAGAAGTCCAGGACTTTTTTATGCTTTGATCATTCCACGATCTTGAAAAAAAATTATAGTGTGCAATGCAGCCAAATCTGTCCAAGTCGAACTTCAAAGGACCAGCAACAAATTCGAGTTTCCGAGAAAAGCATTTTTGTTGGAGGAAGGATAGAAGAATCACAGGAAATAGTAATTTCTTAAATGCTGGGCCTCGAATAGCTCTTTAAATTAGTTGACAGGATGCTGAAATTGGAGGCAACGGTTTATTTGACCAACTAGTCTTTCATTTATTTTCAATGCGCCTGAAGTTCTTTTTTATTGCTTTCTCTTTCCTGTTTCAGGAAAATGATAGCCAGAAAGCCTCAGATAATTCTTGTTACGGAGTTTTGAGAGGAAGCCTTCCAGATAGAGATTTTTAATGTATTGTTTCTAAGGTAATGGAGACAAGGACTTTAAAAAAAATTCGACTCAAGGACTTATTCAACTTATTCAGGTTATCCAGGTTTATTTGTTACTGTGTAATTATAATGCCATTGCGTCTACCTGAGACATCTATCGCGAGATGAATAAATCCTCATTGTATTAGACAGTGTGGTTAGTAATCTCATGAATGATCTGCTTTTGGGTTCTTGGTATGTATGCACGAGTATTGTTGCTGTTCGTGTGAGGGTTGGTCGGGTTCCAGGTGAAATTTTTACAAAATAATCAAGACTTATTTTTCTGAATTCTTCTTAATCTTTCTAGAATCTCAACGTATTTAATGAGCAAATTTGACGCACTTCTGCGTGCGCTTGACCTTAAATTTTTTGTCGCACAGTAGTTTTTCTGAACATTTGTATATTGTATTAAGTATTCGCGATTTTTTTTTTGGCTTGAAAACGCTGATCTTCGCGAGTTATTTCGGACAGAATTCGCCTTGTATTTTCCTCACTTTTTTTTAGAAAAGAGTTCGTGCATCTTATTAATCTTTTTTCTGCAGGACGAAAGTTCATCTGACGAAGAATCTAGTGCTTCGGAAGCGGAAGACGTTGAGCATCCTTGGGGAGAGCTGGACGCGGATGCCCCACGGGCTCCGGATACGGATTCTTCTCGTCTTGCCATATGTAACATGGATTGGGATCGTGTTTCCGCAAAAGACATTTACGTGGCTTTGTCTTCCTTCCTTCGGCCCGATTCCCAAATTCTTTCAGTTAAAATCTACAAGTCTGAGTTTGGGAAGGAGCGTATGGCGATCGAGCAAGTTTCGGGACCTGTAGAGCTGAAGCCGAAGACAAATTTGAAGTAAATGCTTCAGAAATCCTGAGATATTTTCCTAGTTAGATGGTACAGTCGAACCTCTCCAACTCGAACCTCCCCAATTCAAATGTCCATGCAGTCCCTGTGAAAATAGTGTTGACGGAACTTCCCTAATATAAAACCGTTTACTGGTGAATCTCTCTCTCATTGAAAGTTTTCCAGCACGGTGAAGGGCCCAAAATTTATATTCTAATCCTTTTTGGAAGGAAGAGAACCACTACATCTTCCTAACTCTTTTAAACGATATTTCGTGGGCCCGAGACTCATTCGAACAACTTGTTTCCCACGCCCAGGTGCCTGTTCTTTTTATGTGCAATTTCTGGCCAATAAAAAAGGACATCTTCCTGAAACAATCTCACATGCAGGATGTAACTTTTTTTTTTTTACTTGAAGTCACAGCACCAGCAGGATTTGAATTTTTAGTCTTGAAATATACACCAGACCGACAATCCAACAACATTTTTCAGCCGAACTATAGTAAAGTCTCGTTGCAAAAAAGTTGTTGGGACTAGTAAAATAGCTTTGATGTAACAAAAAATTCGCTATTAAGGAACTCCTTCAACATTGTGGCTATCGGACAGGGACCTGCAAATGACTTCATTGTGATGGTTTACCGTATTTGTTGTACTGTATCGAGATTCTTGGTGATGAGATTCCACTGTACTGTATTTAATTTCCAAAAAATTTAGTTCTAGTCGCAAAACCTCCTTGATTTGAATTTTTTGGTTGTCCTTCGAAGTTCGACTGTATATTGTTCATTCTTGAATTTTCAAGGTCGAAAGCGGTCAAAGAACACAAGAAGCCTCCCGAAGAAGAAGACGAATCCGACGAGGAAACCCGCGAACGGGTGCGCCAGTATCAGCTCAACCGTCTGAAATACTTCTACGCCGTAGCAACCTTCGACTCATCTGAAACAGCCAACAAGGTCTACGACGAGTGTGACGGAGTAGAATACGAATCTTCCGCCACCAAGTTCGACCTTCGTTTCGTACCAGACTCGGAAACTTTCGAGGAAATCGATGTAGTAGACCAGACGTCGTCTGTGGATCTCCAGAGTTACGTCCCACACCTGTTCGTCAACACGGCGTTACAGCAGGGAAAAGTCAAGTGTACCTGGGACGAAAATGATCCTAGGAGAGAAAAGGCAATCGACGAGTTGTTCAAGGTGGTCAATCCGAAATCGAAAAAGGATAAAAAGGCTTTGAAGAAGAAAGGGAAACTCGTGGATGGATTGAACGAGGAAGACTGGCAGGCCTACTTGGCTTCAGATTCTGATCCCGAAGAGAATGATTATGAAGCCGGTCTGGGCAAAGATGGGAAATTGTCTACTTATAGGGAACTTGTGAATTCCATAAAATCTAAAGAGAAAGAAGACGAGGAGGAAAAGGCGCATATGGAAATTTCTTGGAATCCAGTTGATGTGGAGCCAGTCAAAGAACTTTTGAACAAGAAGAAGGAAGAGGAGAAGACTGAAACTCCTTGGGATCGGTTAGTCTGATCTTCTACAAATTTGCTGCAATATCCTTTTATAATACGCCATAGTTTGAGATAATTTAACAAACAAATTAGGGACGCAAAAAATATATGCCTAGTCAAAACAAAGCAGAAAAATCCGTGATTCACTAGACCTCATCTGGGTAACCTTGCGACGAATGTTATTTTGAACACCGAAAAGAAAAAAAAATTTCTTATACCTCGAATGAACAACTGTTCTGTTTTTGTTTCTTCAGATATCTTTTGAAACTAAAGGAGAAGAAAAAATCGAAGCGAAGAAAGAATCCGGAAGACGATGAAGAAGCTTCAGAACTTACGAAAGAAGATCTGAATGATCCGTTCTTCGCGTCGAGCAACCTTGACGACGAATATGACCCTATTCGAGAGTTCAAGAAAGGCTCAAGTAAAAAGAATGACGAACCTCAGATTAAGCAAAATGAAGAGGAAAACAAAGATGATGGACTGGAGCTCTTGACTCTTGACATGGACCCGGACGCGAAGAAGCATTTTAGTCTGAAGAAGCTCGTGAAGCTGGAAAAATTGAAAGGAAAGAAGAAATTGCACAAGAACGACAAGAAGAAACTCCAGGCCCTCGACGTTGGCGATGATTTCGCCGTCGATGTCACAGATCCCCGCTTCAATGCAGTTTATACTAACCAGGCTTTCAGTGTCGACCCATCGGACCCACATTTCAAACCCACCACCGGAATGAAAGCCATAGTTGCAGAGAAAACCAAGCGAAGAAAAAACACCTCGACTGACGTCGAAGAACTGCCGAATCTTACCCCGAAATCTGAATTATCTTCTTTGGTTCAAAATGTGAAGCGAAAAATGAGCGGTAATGCTGCTTGGAAAAACAAACGCGCAAGAAATTGAATGAAATGAGGTGAAACCGCGTCGGAGCATTTTGGAGCGTTTCCGATCACATTGGCTTTAAATTCAATTCGTACATTATTCCCCTGTTTTTGTGTGTTTTCTGTGACCTTCATCAGGTCTGTGTTTATCGATCTGCGACGTGTCGAAGTGAAGTGTGATTTGTGTAATGATATGCTCTTGCGATCATTGGGGAAATACGTTCAGGGGATCTTCCTGATTTCGGCGCTTGGGTGAGTAACAAATTTTCCATGGCTCATTTTTTCGATGATTTTTCGATTACACTAATTTTTATGATCGAGTTTTGGTTTTTTTTTTTTTTTTTTTTTGAAATATTACTTTCGTCACATACTATATATACCGTAATTTCGTTCCTCAGGTTAATCTTGCACGATGTTGGGTTGAAGGCGAATCCAGATGAAGCCACGTAAGTGATCTTAGAAACGTTGAATTTGTTACATTCGCCAGTTTTTCCTGATCGTATGACTGACGTGCTATTTTATTTTTCAAGTTTGAGAGAGCTCCTGTCGCGAAATTTAATACAACCTAGAGCTGCCCGATGTGAAGATGCTTTCGGGAACGCAATGGGGGAGGTTGCCTCCTTTTTTCAAAACTGCCTCCCGAGTAACCTGAAGCCAATGTCAATTTGTGCGAATTGTGGCGAATATTTTCGAAAGGGCGTGGCTGCTTTTGACACTCTACGGGACGTGAGTGATTTTTCCTACGAGGGTTGTTTCATAAGTTTTGAGACTTTATAGAAATATATCCGACGGAATTTCAACGATTCCAAAAAAAAATTTTACTTGCATAGCCCCATATTTTGGCAACATCTAAGTGCTGTTCCACATTCTCTTCACTCGCAGATTTCAATTCACTTTTTCATGCGATAAATCCAACGATCAGAACAGTGCCGAAAATTGAGTTATGTTAGTTGATTAAGCTTCTCCTTGATGGCGGAAATGAGGCTGAACCCTGTCCTGAAAATCAGTGCCTTTCATTGTTCTTCACTGTCGAAAATAGTCAGAAGTCACAGGGTGCCGAATCAACTAACAAGACTCGATTTTTGGCACTGTTCTGGTCGTTGACTTTTACGCAAGAAATAATGCATTGAATCGGCGGAGAGTGTGTTGCCAAATGATAAGGCTATGTGAGTGAAAAGTTTTTTTCGAATCATTGAAACTCCATTGGATCTATTTTCAAAAGGTTTCTAAACGTATGAACCAACAGTCGTATTCAAAATGCACGTTTTTATGAGGTTCATATCTTGGGGTAATTGCTTTTCAGATTCCGGACTGTATGCCAGCAGAAGAGAGCATTGTGGTTGCAGTTTGTGCAGTTTTTGTGGGCTTTTGGAGGGATACCGATTGCAACAGTTGAGTTTTTGGAGGCATGTTTCAAGTCTTGATTTTTTTATATTTATAATGCGTATCTCTAGATTGCTATGTGAAGCCGATTGACCTGGATAATCACAGTGAAACGCCGAAATTTCGTCCGGATGTGTCGAATTTTCTCCAGAATGTTTCTTCAGTGGATCAGTGCTTCATCGATAATCCTGGAGACAAAGCTTGCAACAAGTGTGAGAAGGAATACACGACGGCAATGGCGTTTTACAAGGAATTGTTGTACGAATCCGCCGAAGCAGCCGAAAAGCAGGAAATCACCAATTCTGAGTCTCACTTCTTGTGGCAATTACTGGATGCCAGGCCAATCAGAGCATTTTTATATCGGGTGATTTGACTTTTGCGCTATCATCTCTAAAGCTAAAGAAGTCCGGGTTTTCTTAAATATTTTTTAGCGTTTTATTCGCTGTTGAATAGACGAGGTTTACTTCTGACTAGTTAACTGCTGAAGGCTGAAAATGTTTATAATTTTGAAGAAATGGGTTTCCGATTAAACTCTAGACGCTTTTATGATTCAAGTCCTTCTTTGTATGATCAGATTTGACCAACCTTTCGAAAATTTACAGAGATACTATCTTTTTATCGGTGATCTTTTTTACAACTCTGGTATTTTCATCGTATGCTTATCCCTTTCCCTTATTAAGTCTGAAGGAAGGAAAGTCGCAATTTCCTTTAAATTTTCAGACATTCAGTCGATGTTGATATGACGAGGTTTCTTTCAGAAAAATTTTTATCTGCAGAAGACTGATGATGATGAAGTTTTTGCAGAACTTGGTTCACAATTGAATTTTTAACGATTCAAGTCCTTCTTTGTATGAATAGATTTTTCAACCTCGCGGAAATTAAGGAAGAGGAACTCCTCATCGGGGAACAGTTTTTACAAATTTAAATTATAAATTAATTCTTACTATTATTTTTTTAGGGAGAAGTTTTATGGGAACGATCCCAGTCCCCAACGAAGTCCCCTGGAGGTTTTCGACTGTGTTTAGACGCCATTCATGCAGTGAGTTAATTCTACATTGTCGTTCCTATTTTCCGGAATGTAATTGAATCGTGTTCGTTTCAATTTCAGATGAATCAAACGAGAACGACGTGGAAAGCACGGGGCTGCAGGGAAAAGGAAACGTCAACCAGTTTGCTAGCCCTGGGAATCACAGTGGGAGCGATGATCTTGCTGCCAATTTTTTTCTACCTGGTTGTTTTCTGCGTCAGCGTTCGTCGGAAGCCATTCGTTGAGGCTCAACGTTAGTCCATAATTTAAACCATGAAACCGATCAAATAAAGTGAAAAATCTACCGATTTTTTGCTACATTAGATTACCTCTGATTTCCTGTTCGCAGTCCCGTTTTTTTTTTTTTTACTCGGTATTTTCCTAATTCGAGGAACTCGAATAATTCAAGGATTTTTCTGTGTTTTATGTCTCATGTTCTTCGACAAAATTTCTCGCTAAATTTTGTTACCGAGGATGAAGGGAGAAATCATCCTCCACGTAGTTCACCAAAATATCCCACCTCACCCTGTCACCCTAAAAGATCTCTGAGTTGAAAATATTAGTCAATTATTCTAGAAGATGTCTGGTCAAGTCAGCGTCTCGAAAAATGTGATAGAACTGTACCCAATTTTTTACTTGGTCTGAATTTGCAATCGTTCGTGGGCGGTAACAGAGGTTCTGAAGCGGAAATTCAAAGCTGAAAAAAACTATTAAATTTTGATTGTAAATTACTGAACCTGGGTTTTTGAATCGAGAGAGCTCGGATATTTACCTCTACTAGGGTACAACCATTGCCAAATTGTCGATGGAAAAAATTCGTTTCCTCTTGATAGCGCGCGGAAATTGAACTTCCTCCCTCGTTATTATCCAAAATTATTAATCCTAGAATATTTTTGCCCTCAATTTTGCGGACTGACGTGACGGAGAACTCGTGTTGGATGATGTGCTGTTATTGATATCGACTGAATATTTTGCAGAGAAACGATTGCGATGGAGGTATGATACGTTGACGGAGGACTACATCGATGACAAGGTCGGAGAAGAACGGTGAAAAATTATGAAAAGGAGGGGGGGGGGGGGGGATCATTTGGCTGTGTTTGTGTGACATTATATTCATTTCTAGAGCTTATTGTACTCTTTCGACTCTTGCTTTTTGACCCTCAGGCGATTAGGGGATTGAAAGTGGCCGCCAAGTCGATCCTGATATTACTGTTGAATGTGAATTAGAACTGGGCTGCAAATGTGTTAAGACCGGGTCAGTGTAAGAGGAGATAGCGACATAATTCAATTCCGCTTTTCAGGACGAGTTTCTGTCGGAAGATTTACTGCGGGTTTATTCTGAAATTGAACTTTTGGATGTTCAGTGGGGCCCCGACATATGAACAATTCGACTGGAGGACATTTGACTCTTGAGAATATGCCCCTTAATCTGGAAATTGGTTCAAGATCCCGACACTTCACGGACATTTCTAAAACAGTTTCATTCATTTATTGTTTTATATCTATTGATTAGGTTGAACTATTTATATTCAAAAAATTTAAAATTCATTTTAAATTAAGTTCACTAATTCATAATCCAGAACAAGCTAATTATCAAGAGCGGAGCCAAATAAATATGTTCCCATTCAGGTCTATGGGAAACCATGATCCAAGATGTTGGTGTTCCAAGATAGACAGGGGTTGAATACCGGTTACGTCAGCATCTCGGGGCCCCACTGCATTAGCATTCTTCGCTGTTCGGATATTCGTAGAACAGGAAATTTTTTTACGGAATCTTGGGATCTCTGGAAAAACGTTCACTTCAGCGAGAATTTTTTCTGAAAGTATGCCAAAATGGCCGTCGTTTTCACGCTACCTATTACATCATTCATTTGATTGTCCTTGGTTGATCATTCCCAGTGATATTGAACGCGGTCTTCTGTGACATTCCGTTTGTTCAGAGTTTATTGCTAATTCGTATTTCATGGATGACAAGGAACTTGTGCCACTGCTCTGAATTTCGGTCGAAGTTGTGAAGACTTTCTCGATGAAGAAAATTTTCAATTTCTATTCATATTTTTCCATTTGTGTCAACAGAGATTATTCTTGCCTGGTGCGTGTTGGTGGATCTCGAGTGGAAGTGTAGTGATCGCGAAGTTATTCCCGGTCGATGCCTCGGACCCTTGTTTCGGTTTTGGTCGCCGTTTGAAGTAAATCGTGATGAGCTTAGAAGTGTTGGCGATGATGGGGGCTGGTGTGCCTCCGAATGTGGCCCACTTCAACCAGGACAAATTGGCTGTCAAGTACCCGTTGCTGTTGAAATTTGGGAATTCAACGACGCAAGTTGCTCAAGACTTGATGATAACGGTAAGAATTTCAAGTCCCTGTCTGAATCCCCTGAGAAGCGATGCACTAAGAGCTTCTTAACTTGAAGGCTTTCCTCCTCAAACCTCCGTAATTCGAATTTTCTAAAGGCGTTTTGAATATTATTTCATTGACTCAGGCAAGAGAAAAGGAATAAAAGTGTAACTTGATGCTTTTTGAAAGAAATTGAAGGACTCTTTGGGTATATGAACCCTTGCCTCCAAGTTTAGCACCCTGTCAACTCATATCAGAAGCCCTTCACTGAAATTTCTATTCTGGAGCTTATTCGAGGCAATCGCTGATGCTTGCAGAATACTGTCTTCGTGCAAATATCGTATGCTGAATGAAAAAAGTGCATACATTTATTCGTATATAATTTTTTTGCAGCTGGCGTTGTCAGAAGTCAAAGCGGGGAAGAAAGTGCAGTTCGTGACAGAAAGACCGCTGACGAGGTTTCCTGTGCAAGGACCAAAAAATCTCCCGCCTCCGCCTCAACTGTTGGATGGAATAGATTTCTGGTGAGAAACTGCTTTCTTTTTCTTTTCCCCACTTCGGTCGAAAGAAAAGTTGAAGCTGGTTGATGAAATCAGTTCGCGATATCTCGCCATTTTCGTCACCTGTGCAATTTTTTTGAAAGCCTACTCGAGCAAAAATCCCGCGATGAGAGGATGACTTTCCCCTTCTGAGTTTAAAATCGCACTGATCTAGAGCTGGCGCAGAAACATTTTTGTTTCACTGTGAGCGACTGTTTTCAGGTCGGGCTGGATCAATTTTGGGGTCGCGAGACTGTAGCCATGATCCAGCTGATGGGATTCTGTGTACCCAGGGAGCAGAGGGGCTCCCACAAATATTGAAGCTTTTTTCTTTTGGCTGACTGAAACCCGAAATGGGAGGGGAGAGGTTAAAGGGCTTGATGCAGACTGAATCTCTAATTTAGAGAACCCTTTTCGCATTGAGCTGTAATGGTAACAGCTGATGTTGCGGCCATCAGGGTTTCGATGGGATCTTTTTTCCTTGTTATTTGCACTGTACTGTACATTCTTCTGATGGGATTTGGAACACGAACACTGAGAACTGTCTGTGTGAAACGGATTCTGTCTTGGACATTTTCCGAGTCGAAGAGTTTTCAAGTGTCGCTGTTTTGACGCGAAATGAAATTCGATCCTGTAATATTCGTTTGAAATGTGCGTATTCATAAAATAAAAATGTGAGAGATCTTTTGCAGATCGGTTTCTTTGGTCATGCAAATGAAGGACCAACGTCGGAATTAGTTCTTTTTATTGCAAACACTTTCTGGTGTTGAAATAGAGCATTCAAACTTCGCATTGCGTACAGAAAGGAATTAATTTTTCCTCAATTGCGCTTAAAAAATTGTGGAAGAGATCCACGAACTCTCCCAAATAAGCTTTTTGCCGGTATGTGAATGCTGAAGAGGATCCATTGATGGCTTGGGAATATTGACGCATAAATTGTATTTGAATTTATGGTGAAGTAGGCAGAAAAATGCCAATGAAATGTGTCGGTTTTATATCTAGTCCGAAATACGTTGAAGTCGCATTAGTGTGCACAAATCTTGTTGAGTTACGAAGTGTATTATGCTGTATGATGCATTTTCCTTGTGCTTCAGGATGAACGATAAGGGTTATATCTTAATGATGAACCCGTTACGACTTTTAGTAATCCCTTTTTTTCGTTGGTGGTTGTTGGTTTTCATCCGGATACGCAGTTGACAAGCAGCCAAAATCGTGATGATTTTTTAAACATGAAATTAATTTGTTTTCGAAACCGTCGGTGACTGTGGAGCCGAATTTTTCCTGGAGAATTTTTTAAATGGTGCGTTTCTACGCTTTGTGATTCATGGAACTCTTTGCTGGAATTATTTTGACGATTCTTCGGAATCTCAAGATTCAGAGAATTTTTGATGATGATTCTTGTTTGAATCCCAAAACTTAATTTTGGGGCTTCCGCTACTGTTGAAACACAATTTTTTCTTCTTCTAGAAAACGAATTGCACAAACGCTGTGTGATATAAACTGAATTATCGTTACGAACAAAAGCTTTTTGACGATGCTGTTGAATTCACTGATTCGTTATCCATTTTACTGACCCTTGAGGCACCAAAGTAAACCTTCGAATATTCAAAAATAATTACTGGACACGGAAGTCTTCAAACGCTTTTTGACTGACTGGAAACTGGAAAATATTATTTTGCCGATTTCTCTGGATGCAAAATAAAAAAAAACGCTTGTGTTGATGTGAACAAAAGCCATAAATGTGAAGAACCCTAACCTGAAAAGAAACGCCTCCCATTTGGAACTGAAAAGTATATGCCTAAGAAAAAACGTTAATTGTACTGTACCATACTTATACAAATATTTTTCTTTACCCAAAATACGCACCCACAAAGTGCATTAAATGTCTGTTCGGAACAGATTTGAGAAAAGTTTAAACTTTGTTTTGAAACCTTCTCTTTTTGAAATAAATTCAAACAACAATCAGCCGGGGTGCTTTACACCCTAGTGTAAGGTTGGTATATTTAGTATAGAATGCAATATTTTGGCAAACAGCAGATTGATAAGCAGCAGTCTTTTGTGTGAGACAAGCCTAGAACAACTGATGATAGAACATACATTCAATTTGGTATTTAAACCCTTTCATTTTGCAAAAATGTGTCCCTGAACGGATTTATCCCCCTTTTTGCAGGATTTCCCCAAGAACTCGAGATCGTGGGAACTCAAGGTTAAACTTGGTCTCACAAGATTCTGGGCTCTTTTCGGAATTAACGCTTTTTAGTGGTGCTGTGCTAATCTGTCTATAATTCCATTACTCTAATTTCCAACAATGCCCACGTCGTCATTACTGCGTATGCAATATCCCGAAAATGTTCTCTAGGTGTTTTCGTGTCAAATTTCATTTGGAAATATCCCCATGAGGATCCTCGTGAAAAAACTTTACGTCGGGACTTTTGTTTCCAGCATCGTGTGTATATCCTTTCCCCCCTCTCCCTTGATTCTAAAGGTCGAACCGCCGGCTGATGTGTACGAACAGCAGACTGGACCAAGTGTCGGGGGGTTGCGCGGGTATTGATTTTTCCGCGAACCCCAAGGGTTCTTCTTCCCCCGTCGCACGTGTTGTGCTCGTTTTTCACCGGCCGGCCTGTTTCGCCCTCTCCCCATCAGAGTTTCCCCCATTATAATACTCGCAGTTTCACGATTTGCTATATATACCCGGAATATGCATTGAATGCTAGAAAGAAATGAGGGAGGAACGAGAGAGGATGTGGAAATGTCTTGGATCATCGTGGCTCTGGGGAGAGAATGTGGATGGGAGGATATTTCTGCGAATATACTGTACAGTATTTCGGCAGATCGTATGAGAGAGGGAGGAAATGTATAATTCAAGTTATTCCGTGTTTGCGGGAGTGTAGAGGGTGGGCCGCAAAAAAATGGGATTCGACTTTCGAACTAAGGTTATGTGCACATTTCGACGACTGCGGAAGCTTGAAAGTTGAATTCATTCGCGAAATCACGTTAGAATGAAATTATATTTCAGTATAGTGTAGTATCTCATTTTAATTTATCTTTTATGGCATTATGTTTCAGTATAGTGTAGTATTTCATTTTAATTTATCTTTTCAGTATGTCTTAGGGAGAGAATGTGGATTGGAGGAAATGTGTAATTCAAGTAGTTCCGTGTCTATGGGAGTTTAAAGGACCTGAAAAAATTGGATAGACTTTTCCAATTTACAGTACGGTGAAATACTTTGAAAACGGTATTCATCCGCGAATTCACGTTAAAATGGCATTATATTCGAGTGCATTAGTGCAATACTGTATTTCATCAGAATTTATTTTTCATCGTGGCTAAGGGGAGAATGTGAATTGGAGAAAATGTCTGAAAATTGTTCAGGAGATCGTAAGAGTGGTAGGGAATGTGTAATCCAAGTTTTTCTGTTTTAACGGGAGTGTAGAGGGTGGACCAGAAAAATATGGCTTGACTTTCAAACGAAATTAATGTACTTATACGATTAATGTACTGTATTTAAAAAAAATACGAAAACTTGAAACTGGAATTCGATCGCAAATGCAAAGCACTCTTTGATGGAATTACAGTATATTTCTGGAAAAGGCCTCGTTCAATCGTGGTTCCGAAACGGAATTTTTGATGGAGAGGAATGTCTGTGAAATTTTGGTTTTGTTTTCAGAAGATCGTTCGGAGGGAGGAAATGTAGAAATTCAAGATCCCTGTCTAGAAGAGTGAAAGATACTGGACCATAAAATTTTGGATCAACTTTTCAATAACAATAAATTCCTGCAGTGTACAGTATTTCGAAAACTGGAAAAGCTTAAAAGCGGAATTCGATGGAAAATGAAATTCACTTTTGATGAATGGCATAATGAAGTCGCATTACATCTCGGGGGGGGGGGGGAAATGTTGTCATAAAATCGTACGAACGAAGTAAATGGGAAAAGTTGAAGTTCCGTATTCACTCGATTTTAGAGGATGGACTTGACAATTTTTGGATCGAATGCCCAACAACAACGAGTATGAACAGTACATGGAGTGTATTTCGAAAACTGCGTAATTCTAAAGCGTGAAATGCAACTGCAAATTAAGTTGACTTCTGAAGAACACGGTAGTTCTGAAACAAATATTTAT